TTTTTTGGGATTGGGAGGTTTGTTCAATAAAATTTTAATTATACTCTAACGGTTGATGACTTGAAAATTATACTGACTGTCATTTGCATCGACTATTTTGGAAAATAGAAAAATAACATTTGCATAATCATATGGAACGCGCTGTATGAATCAATTTATGAACACAATCTGGACCCAGCCCAACCAAGGACCAAGGTGGGGTCACGAAGAATCATCAGATTACCTGGACCAGGTGTTTCAGCCAGTGAGGAGTTCATCATGTGTAGACACAGGTGAGGTCAGGAGGTCTGACATAGCCAGAGCCCATTCAGCTCACTGTGGACTTTAAAGTCCCCAACTCATCAACAGCTGATCCTGCTCAACACCCACTGCTCATTACTTCATTTGTGTTTAAGGTGGATTCAGGTATTTTATGGAGAACTCAGGTGTTTAAGGTGGACTCAGGTGTTCTCAGATGTTTTCTGCTGTGTGATGTAACTAGTTCTTACCTTCCAGGGCGAGGGCCTTGTGGAGGCTCCTGGTGGCCTCCTCCAGCTGTGTGTCCTGGTTGGGGGGCAGCTGTGGGGGTCGAGGAGGCAGCAGGTGGGGGTGGGGATCAGGCTGGATGGCGGACAGAGGAGGATTATGGGTATCGGACTGGCTCTGCTGCACCGGGAGAAAGGGGCCGCAGGATTTGGTGCGGGTCACTTTGACTCGCCGCTGGTCGCTGTGGTGACCATGGTAGGTGGGCGGGGCTCCGGGGGGCTGCTGGGAGGAGGAGTGACCGTTGTAGAGCAGCTGGTGCTGCGATGTGATTGGCTGTCTGTTACTGGCCTGGGACTGCTGTCGCTGCAGCAGCTGCTGTTTCCCCCAGACGTAGTCCAGCAGGACCTCGCTGTACCCCACTCCTCTTCCTCCCCCTCTTCCACGCCCTGCCCCTCCTCCCATCGCTCCTCCCTCCACAGGTCTGTTATTCGTCCTTGTCCATCCGTCCGTCAGCGTCTCAGAGCTCCTGAATGCACCAGTGGCGTTTGTTCCTCTGGACCCCGGCAGACCATTTACCCACAGTCCTCCCTGCTGTGGCCCCCCCTCCTCCTCCGGGAAGTTGATGCGGTCTAGGTGGCCATCTGAGCTGTTACTGCGATGAGCTGCGTTAACTTTGACCCCCGCCTCACCCACTGCTCCTGCATCTGAGGGGCCGGAGGAGGAGGAGTCCTGAGAGCGAGGGGGAGGATGCAGGGGAAGGGGGGNGGGGAAGGGGGGGTGGGTGGGAGGGAGGCAGGGGGAGGGGCTTGTGGGTCTGAAGAGTCTCTGGATGCTCTGTCCTGAAAGAGAAGAGGGACAGAAGAGGCTGTATCACAGCTACAAGATTTGATTTGATTTGATTTAATTGATACACTGTCCTGATTATACCTGAACACTTAGACTACAGTGTGGTATGAGACTTTTACCTCAGTAGAGGACCTGACTACTTCCTGGAAGAGCTGATCTGTTCTTTTTTCTGTTAAAGACATGGCCTCATACATTCTCAGAGATCACACTGGTCCAAACAAAAGCTATCACAGATCATGAAGTATGATATCATTATTATACTACTATTAAAAGCTACTTGCTAAATGTCTAAGCTAACATGCTAAATTTGAAGCTAACATGCCAACTGTTGATGCTAACATGTTAATTGTCCAAGCTAACATGCTAAATGTGGAGATAAATGTACCTGTTGTGCAGAGAGCTCCTTCCGGTTTTGTTCTGGTAGAAAACCTCCACTGGAGAACCAGCAGAGACCAGCGGGGGCCGACACTGAGACACACCATCATCTGAGAGAGAGAGAGAGAGAGAGAGAGAGAGAGTAATGATACTGAATTCACTGTTTCACTGAGGGGAGCTGTCAATCAAACACATGTTGACATATTCTGAAGAAAAATAAACAGACTGCTGAAGAATTATGTTTAACAGACTAATTACTATTATTATTTTTATTTATTTATTTTTATTATTAATACTGTGTGCAATGATGTAATTAGCAGCTTAGTCTGGGGGGGCGCAGCTACAACGCACTGTGTGTGTGTGTGTGTGTGTGTGTGTGTGTGTGTGTGTGTTACCTTTGTCATGTCCTGTTGAGTCTGATGTTGAGCTGCTCTCTGACCTCACTGTGTCATCTGAAAATATACAACACACACACGCACACACACAGAAACAGTTGCGGAATAAAGGCAGGAAGAGGCAGGTTTCCTCATCTTCCTTAAACAATGACTTCTCATCTACTGCCAACTGAGTGTGTCTGTGTGTGTGTGTGTGTGTGTGTGTGTGTGTGTGTGTGTGTGTGTGTGTGTGTGTGTGTGTATGTGTGTGTGTCTGTGTGTGTTATTGAATGGAAAGTTTTCAGCATGAAGACAGGCTGTCCTGTTTCACACACTCTGAGACCTCGTCCCCAGTAATACCCTTTTTCCACCAACATTAGTGGGTATAAGTAGGTTTTTTAAACGAGGGTAAACCTGCTAATAAAAGCAGATTGGCCACTTTTCCGCTGCCAGTCGAGTTTGTCTTTCTGTTTGGACTGAGGACCCACACAATAGCAAGGAGCAATGTCATCACATGCACTTAAAGAGCAAACACACAGTGGAGAGAGGGTGAACTGTTAGCTGTCGAGCAAACTAATAAAAGGGATCTGTCACGTCTCATCCCCGGGTTGGTGCTGCTGTCAGTGTGAGAGCCTCCGTGTGAGAGGCTTCAGGTGGTGATTGTGTGATTTTAAAACTTATCTCAGGGCTGCAGCTCGCTCTCAGAGAGCACTGTGCTGGACAGGCGACAGGTGTGTTTACAGTGTCCGTGCTCTAAAAGATGTTACAGCAGGAAAAGGGAAGAAAATTAGCATGTTTACCCGGGTGTTGTGTTTACATCACTGCTGATTGGAGCTGGAGCTGATAGATGCCTGTGTCTACTGCAGCGGCATTTGACCCAGTTGTGACTGATGATTGTTCACTTTTCCATTGCCATCAAAAACCTGATGCTAGCTGGTTTGTCGACCAGTGGAAAAGGGACTTTATTCATATATATCTGAAGGGGCTTTACATTCAAACACCAAATCAAAGCTATAACACGTCTACTCAGCCAACCAGGATCTGAGAGAATCCAGGCCTCATAATCCTGATCTAGTTCCAGGAACTCGTCTCCAAAGTGAACAGAGGAAACAAAGACAGGTTCAGAGACAGACTGCAGATCAGTTCTCAGGTTCAACAGTTCAGTAGCAGGGACCAAACCAAAGAGTGTGTGTGTGTGTGTGTGTGTGTGTGTGTGTGTGTGTGTGTGTGTGTGTGTGTGTGTGTGTGTGTGTGTGTGTGTGTGTGTTACCTGTGTGGCAGCCTCTGTGTACAGTCCTCTTGCCGTGGTGTGTGTGTGTCTGATTGTGTGTGTTGTGTTCGGAGTCGCTGTGTTTCCTCAGAGCTCCACTGAATAAATTTTTTTTCGGCTTCGAACGCTGACAGTCTTCTTCCTACACACACACACACACACACACACACACACAGAACAGTGGATTTATACATATCTGACTTTTTGATTTTCTTTCTTCTTTAACTGGACCTGGTCTCACTCTGACACCAGATCAGGTTTTGGGTCTGACCATAATCCTTTATTCTTATATAATAGCCGGACACGTGTGTAGGACTGTGTGGTCTTGGTGGAGGTCAGAGCCCCTCTGAGTACCGGTCTAGTCCACCTCTGAGACTGAGCCAGTTCTCCGAGGATCCAGAATACTCTAGAGTGTGTGACGAGTCGCTCACCTCTGCTCTACACTTCCTGTTTGCTTGGCGGGACACCCCCCCTCTCCGCCGGACACAGGGGGGTTTCTCTCCTGCCTCCAGGGGGAAGTCACTGGGCACTGCACCTGTCAGCTCCTGACCAATGAAAACACAGGAAAACTCACCTTCAAACACGTCACATTAACTTCATTCATGCGCTGGTCCAAGAGTACCAGGACCAGACGGGCCTGACAGCATGAGACCCGTCCAGCAGTACCAGGACCAGACGGGTCCAGGACTATTAGCTATAATTGGATAATCCCTCTTTGGAAACTTTGACATCACTCACCGCCTCCTGCAGACAGATGCGTCTGAGCTCAGCCAGTCGCGTGCTCAGCAGCGCCTGCAGGCTCCGCCTCCTCTCCTGTAGCTCTGCCATTCGCTCCCTCTGCTTCCTGTCCGGACAGGTGAGAGGGTCTACACACACACACACACACACACACACACACACACACACACACACACACACATTGTAGGTGTGGACCACAGACCTCAGGTCAGTCTCTGATATAAATTCTGTTGTTTGTTCTCACCAGGTGCTAAGATGAGTTGACCTTTGACCTCCATGGCAGGTGTTTCCCATGTGACCCCTCCTCCTCCTTCCTCGCTGCTGGAATCCTGTTCTCCGCCCCACACACTCTCACTCACCTGTACAACAGGAAGTAAAAACATCTGCTGATCCAAACAGATAAATCCACCATTGATCATGTTTCATATTGATCATGTTTCATATCGTTCATGATCCAATAATGGTCAATCACTGCGGTGATTCAGTTCAGGAAAATCTTTTTGCAGTATTAACACAATGTAATAAAAGAAACCAGCAACACAAAGAACTCCAGGGGGTTCCACCTCTCACACACACACACACACACACACACACACACACACACACACACACACACACACACACACACACACACACAGAGAATGTGTCTTGTGGTGTCAGCAAACAAGACAGCACTGACAACACTGCCTCTGACATGTTAATATGTTGTATGACAGTAACACACACATACACACAAACTTTGTTTTGTATCACACTCTTCCTGTCTCCAGATGAGTGGATGTCTGTTCCTCACCTTGTAACTGGGTTCATAAGAGCTCCAGTAGTTCACTCCTGTGGCCATCAACAGCCTCAACACCAACCACAGGACTGTTAGCTGTTAGCTGTTAGCTGGTGGTGCAGGTGCAGTTCCACAGCTGCCCTCCAGAGGGAGTTAAACAGTCTTCAGACCTACAGACCTGAGAGAACAAGCACAGAGGAAGAGGAGCCGTCAGACCTTCATCATTACAGTCACATCTTCACCATCAGTCATATCTTTATCATTACAGTCGGACCTTCAACATTGCAGTCACATCGTCTTCATCACTTCAATCAGACCTTCATCATTCCTCCTCCTGTCAGTGATATGAAATGATTTAGACTCAGACGTTCAGATTCACTGATTCAGAGAGAAAAGAACAGCAAATACTGACACGCCTGAGTACACACACACACACACACACACACACATATACACACACACACACACACACACACACACACACACACACACACACACACACACACGCATAGCGCAGGGTTATCAGTTTGTAGACTAAACAGCTGTTATCTACAAACACATACAGAAAGATATGAACAGTTACAGCTCCTCCTACAGGATAAAACTATCACAACATCTCAACAACCCTCTGTCCTCACTCCTTGGGGAACTCTGAAAGGGTGTTTTGAGGAGGGGGGGGGGGGTCTGAGGGAGTCTGACCTCCTTCACACCTGTCTGACCACCATCCTAAGTTCACAGCAGACTTTTATTGTGAAAATCTCTAACCTAAATTTTAAATGATTAATTTTAGAAAGAAATATCTGTTTAAAATCAGAAGTAAAAGTACACACACACACACACACACACACACACACAGTTTTCATGAAGAGTTTGTGTCACATGAACCCTGACAGATCAGTGAACAGGTCCAGACTCTGACTGTCTCCCACCAGCAGCACAAACAGAACAACAACACAACCTGCAGCACACCAGAAACCTGCTGACCCCTCTGGATCCAGAACGACATGTCCTGTGACTGCAGGACTCCTCACTGGATGTCCCTGAGAACAGGAAGTGGAGCCGACAGGAAACAGGAAGAAGGAAATGAGCTATGAAGAGAAAGGAAACGAGTGAGAGAGTGAAACCAGTAGGAGTCAGGTCCAGATCTGGTTTCACACACAGCCTGAAAACCTGAATCACTTACTCACTGAAGAACTAATCCCCTTGAGACCTGAGACATGAGACCACAAGTCCAGTCCTCTAGACATGAGACCACAAGTCCAGCAAGAGAAAACTATCCACACAACAACAAACAACACAAAACTCAGTGTTGGCGAGGAAACAGTTAAAATTCAACTCAAACCACACAATGGACTGAAGCTAATTATACACATAGAGGAGGCAAGGAACACACACACACACACACACACACACACACACACACACACACACACACACACAGCTGGTGGACAGCTTAGTGACATCATCACAACAGTTTGAGTGTTACAACACAATCTGAACAAACTGTTATCACACGTGTGTGTGTGTGTGTGTGTGTGTGTGTGTGTGAGGCTCAGACATTAACATTAAACATCCTGATAATTCAAACATGTTGAAGAGAAGCTATGTGTCAGGTGGTCCTCTGACCACAGGGTTGGTAGTTTGTTCCCCTGGTCCCTTGGAGTCCCCTGATGGTCCAGTAGCTGGGCAGAGGACTCTGCTAAGACAATTTCATCTCGTGATGATGAGGTTGAGCTGGTGCCAGCTCTTGGATCCTGGGAGTGTCACACCATGTGCAGAGACCCTGTCTGGGTGTTGGTGATGCAGACCTGGTGATAGCAGCAGAGTTCTAACAGTCTCTGCTCAGTCTCAGTCAAGTTCCCCTCTCCAACGTGACCAAGGCAGTCTGATCAGGATTCAGGGTCCAATCCCTGGTTGTTTGGGGTGGTACTGATAGCCATGGAGCTACCATCAGTCTGACCAGTCTGATAGACCAACACCAGTCTGACTTTAGTCTGGATCTGATCCTGAACTGAAACAGGTTCATAGATTTCACTGTTCCTGATCTTCAGATCAGACTGGTGATGAGTTTGGATCTTTTGGAGCTGTTTAACATTCATCAGGACCTGTTGTCATAGAAACAAGTCCTTAAACCTAAACCTGTATTCGTGCAGCTTATTGACAGCCGGATCAGGACCAAGACCATCATGATGTCATCGTGTCCAGATACAGATTTATGTGTTGATGCAGTTCAGTGTCACAGTTTCATTATCAAAGGTTTGAGCACTGAGATCAGATACAGATGTTGAGACCCTGTGAGAGGCTGAAACACACGATAAAACATTAAACATGAGAATCTGTCATTGACCTGGTCAGAGGTCTAACAAGGTTTCACGCAGTCTGGGATCAAAGCTCGTTAAAATGGTCTAAAACACACTCACCGCTGATGGAGCCTAGCACTCAGCTTTATTTCAAAATAAGAGTCTGAGACTGCAGGGTAGTCTGGATTAGTTAGACCACCTGTGATGACCAGGACCTGCTGAGCTAAGACCAGTGTGTGGAAGTGACTGTTGTTTTATGATGGTAACGACTTATGTGTTACTGTCTCTCTCTCACTCACACACACACACACACACACACACACACACACACACACACACACACACACACACACACACACACACACACACACACACACACAAACACACACACACACACACACACACACACACTCTAACACCAAATGTTCTTCCCCCTCCCTTTTGTTATTTCAGCTCCTCACCACTTTCATCCTCCTCCCTCGCCCCTCCCTCTCTAGCATTCCTGGGTCCTGAGTCGAGTCCAGACCTGCAGCTTCAGTCCTGTTTCTGTCTTCAGACCTTCACTGAGCAGCTCAAACATCCCTCACCGATCAATATACTGATCAGTCTGCTGATCTGCTGATCATTGAATCATTTCCTCTCCTCTGTGTCAGCTGAGGTCTTGACCTTTGACTTTCATAATAAACACAGTGATGTCTGTGATTCTATATTCATCATATTATAACCATGTGCAGTGTCATTACTTCTGACTGTAACGTGACCTGGTCAAATGATCATCTGGTCAGGATAAAGATTTTAAACCTGAACCAGGATCTGTGGTTTAAAATGGTCATGTCCAGGTTTTTCCTCTTTATGTTTTAACTGTTGTAACAGTTTCTTGTTGGTGCAGTTTTAGTTTCTTCTTCTTTGTTTCAGAGCAGGAGATGAAACATGTTTCTAACCTTTCTTTCTGTTCTGACTCTGGATGACTGAGGAGGTGGAGCAGAGCTCATCTCTGTTTTTACTGATGTGACATTAAACACCTGGACTGTGTGTGGTCGATGATTTGTTGGTGTAAAAACTTTACTCAATGTTTCCAGGTGTGAAGATTAATTTTATAAAATGTGAAGGAAATGAACAATAAACTGCTGTTTACCTGCCCAGGTGCTGCACAGGGAAAATGGCTGGTGGTTAAGATGGTACAAATCATCTCTCCTCTGTGCGCGCGCGCGCACGCACACACACACACACACACACACACAGGTATTTGACCTTGTTGGCTCAGTCTGTGTGTAGGGGGTTGTGATGCAGGTCTCTGGCTGAACAGCTGATCTCACAGTGCTGATAAAAGTCACTGAGAACAAACTGTTTCCTGACTGGTTCTCTGTCCTGGACTCTACAGACCTGTACAAGACGTGGTCTCAGGAGGGACAGGGTAAGATCACAAGATCAAAGATGTAAATGTGGCATAAACATGACATTACAGTGATGTAAAAATTATGTAAAAAATGATGTTAACGTGATGTTAATGTGATGTAAACATGATGTTAACGTGATGTAAACGTAATGTAAACACGCAGACTGAGATGAGTTCATGAGTCTTCTCACATTAAAAACTGAACATTAAAACATGAGAGACGTTTAACACATCAAACAGACTGGAAATGTTCATTACTGTGTAATTTACAATACAGCGCACACACACACACACACACACACACACACAGTGATTAAAGGCTGCAGCTGCAGACAAAGAGATGCAAATACAAGATTTAAATATTCAACACAGAGTTACTGAGTGTGTGTGTGTGTGTCCTCTCTCTGCCCTCAAACCAAAACATGGAAGCAGAAGCTCATCAGAGTTTACGCATAGTAGCACACACAGCAGCCCCTGTGTGTGTGTGTGTGTGTGTGTGTGTGTGTGTGTGTGTGGGGGGGGTGTCACCTATGACACGTGTGTGCACCGTTGTGTCTCATTTTGAAGGTTATGTAACCACTGTTACTACAGTGATGAGTTTACATACATTAGTCAACTATCAGTGAGCACTGATCAGTGAACAGGTTCATCATGTTGAGAATATTCCAGCAGCTCTGTGGCTTTACGCCTGGACAGGTGCATCACACCTGTCGCTTCCAAAAGAAACGTATGAAGTGGAGGAAAGATAGAAATCACAACTTTCAGACTTGAAAAGTTGTGTCCAGGCAACCATGTGCAAAACTAGTCACGTGATCACATGGGTTCAATTAAATCTGTGGACTGATTCAGACCGTGCATCATGACCTAAAAATATTTTCGTGATGTTTGGACCAGAGTTAACTCTACACCTCCACATCATGTGAACCACAGGAAGTGACTGTCTATATGACAACCAGTGACCTCCTGAACACCACAACCATCCACCTCCGAACTGCAGCAACATCAACACATTCTGTGACACTCTTTAACACACTGAAACACACTGTAACACACACTGAAACACACTGAAACACTATGACACACTGAAACATACACTGTAACACTGTGACACACTGTGACACATTGTGACACACTGTCACACTGTGACACACTGTAACGCTGTGACACACTGTGACACATTGTAACACACTGTAACACTGTGACACAATGAAACACACGGTAACACACACTGTAACTCACTGAAACACTGACACACTGAAACATACACTGTAACACACTGCAACACACACTGTGACACTGTAACACACACACATACTGTGACACTGTAACACACACTGTAACACTTACTGTGACACTGTAACACACTGCAACACACACTGAAACAAACTGTAACACTCAGTGAAACACTGACACACTGAAACATACACTGTAACACTGTGACACTGTGACACACTGAAACACACGGCAACACACACTAACTCACTGAAACACTGTGACACACTGAAACACACACTGTGACAAACAGTAACGCTGTGAAACACTGTAACATTATGACACACTGAAACATACACTGTAACACACTGCGACACTGTAACACACTGCAACACATGCTGAAACAAACTGTAACACACACTGAAACACACTTTAAAACACTGAAACACTATGACTCACTGAAACATACACTGTAACACTGACACACTGTAACACATACTGTAACAATTACACACTGTAATACAGTGACACTGTAACACACTAACACACAGTGACACTGTAACACACTGCAACACACAGTCACACACACTAACACATAGTAACACTGTCTTTACCACATTACAGTGGATAACAGTCATACAGTCTAGATGAATAATATTTATTTATTGTTTCTTTTATATCTTTTCTGCTCATGATCCATCAGCCACATTTAACAAAATCAGCCACACAAACCAACAAATAATCAGACAACACAACACGGAAAATAAAATAGCTCTGAATCGGAGCTCTGTGTTAATTAGTTTACACAATTTAAATACCTGCAAACCCCGAACCATCCTGTTTGCAGCGGAGCCTCAGACCCGGATTAAATCTGGGTAAAATCCGGAATAATAGCGGGTTCACTCAGGACAGTCCAGTTACAACAGTTAAAACTTATTCTCCTGCTCAGTTAGACGCGGGTTTATCTGCTCTGTGAGTCTCGGTCTGCACACACAGTCACTGCTGAAGCTGCAGACTCATACTAACTACTTCCGCTCCGCCGTATCAAAATAAACCTGCACTAAAAAAATAAAAGTCTCGCGGGAAGTGACTTTGCTCATTCGTTTTTAAAAATCTTATGTTATCCAAGAATCAAGCCAAACATGTGCTGGACACTGAAGTCTGAGGTCACGTGTGAGTCATGTGTTACTGTTGGCTGACCCTCTGCTGTAAGACACCTGCAGTTGTAATTAGATTCATTATCTCAGGGTCAAATGAGAAGGAAGAGAAATTATGTTATAAAAAGAGAATAGACCCTGACTGTCCAAATAAAAGCGCAACGTAAATGTGTTAAAACAAAATGTTCAAAATGGAAAGACAGAATGAAAATCCATTTTAAAACCACATAATGAAACTACTACACAATCTGACTGTATGAGGACAACACACTGACTTTAACCTGTTACTCACAACACAAACTACAGGACTTCGGGTGGCGTCAGACTTCTCTGTCTCCATGGAAACAGTTTTTTTTTCTCCTTCAGGATTTATTATGGACAGGATGTGGGATTTTACTTTGAAAAACGTCAGATCCTGTTAAACTGCAGCAGCTTAATGAATCCTCTCTCTCTCTCTCTCTCTCTCTCTCTCTCTCTCTATCTATCTCTCTCTCTCTCTCTCTCTCTCTCTCTCTCTCTCTCTCTCTCTCTATTATTCTAATGTGGATCTATGTGGATCCCCTTTACCCTGACTGATGAGTGTTTGGTGAATACAACCCCCATCCCCATATTAGCAGAACAATAGACCCCCCCCCCCCCAATTCACATTCAGATTCCTCCTGTATTCATCTGTTTTCACACTGAGCAGCTCAGAGCTTCAGGAGTGAGATTAAAACAGTGTCAGTCAGTGATGCCTGATGACCATGAGGTCCATGAGGTCTGTGATGATCCTTCCTGATATGTGTTTTGAATCCATGGAGGAGAAAGGACACAAATAAAGGATTTGAGTCCAGGAGTCAGGTCTCAGTGTGAGGACACAGGTAGAGGACGATCAGATACAGAGACAATTTAACAGGGAGACAAGTTTAACAGTTACAAATAAAGACTGAGGTGAAACAAGTGACTGCACAGACTGGGCTGCAGGCCTGGGTTCAGACCTGGAGGAAGGTGTAGTGTTTACAGTCTCTGTCCATGTTGTGGTCTCATGTGGAGCTGCAGGATTCTGGAGGACTGTTGACTGTATGAGTCATGTGACTGCTGAAGTATTAACTGACTGAATAGAGGAGCAGACTTCACGTCACTCACAGAGGAATTCAGATGGATATGAAAGAACAGTTTAAACAGGACCAAAATAAAAACCCCAAAAAGCTGCTGATGAACAGATGTGATGTGTCCAGATGTCAATATGGCTTAATTAATTTATACCTGTTATAAATATATATACATACACATAGTATGTACATATACATAGTTATAAATGTATATTTATGTAGATAGATAGATAGATAGATAGATAGATAGATAGATAGATAGATAGATAGATAGATAGATAGATAGATAGATAGATAGATAGATAGATGAGTGGGGAGAGGAGAAAATTAAGGGCTACGGATACCTGATTTAAAAAAGCAGGCCTATAGTGGAAGTAAGAAAAAAGGGGTTCAGGGGCCAAGATATTTTCTGTGTGTGTTATTTTATGTGTAAATGTGTGTATTTCTAGGCCCTTTAAGAAGACTCAGTGTTCTGAAGTAAGTTCTTCACTACAAATATATTGAAAGAGAAAATGGACAACACAGAAATCTTTAAGGCACTTTAATGAATCAGTTGATCACTGGGAGCTTTTTGCCATTGTGAAAAGGAAAGGTAAGGTAAGGTAAGGTAAGTCACCAACTGGAATTCAAACCCAGGTCCATGTGATCATAACACTTCATATGAATATGAATAGCCTAATACTAATCATGTAATCTTGTCACAACTGTCATATTTAGGCATAATATTACACAGGTTTGTGAGTTTGCTGTGAAAGTCAGATTGAACACATCTGGAAACATTGTAGTTCGAACAACAGTGGTTCAAACCAACATGGTACCCAACAAGGTATGACAGTTTTGGGAAACCGTCATACTTCAGATGTTAGTTTAAAATGCATGTTAGTTCAGTGTTAACGTCCATCGTTATACGGGAAACTGACACCAGGTCAGTCTACAGATAGAATGATAGTGACCTGGACTCTGGTTGCCGTTTCCTGTTTTATTTTGAAATCACTTACATTATGTGACTGTTGTATATTTTACTTCCTGTATTTGTGTATATACATTGTATATATAACCTTGTCTTCCCTCTGATCAGGTGACAGAATATAAAGTTACTGTCTGTTTGACTCTGGACCTGTTCGTTGGATTGGTCTTGGACTGGTCTCTCTGGTTTTGACCTTTGCCTCAACATTTCACTGCAGCCGGTCTCTGACTGTTAATGTGTGATGATGGTTTTATAAATGAAGGAGACTAAGACACATCAGACGACTGAAGACAGGAAAAAGATTTTCGCAGTGAATTCAAACCAGTGATGTTCAGCATTAAAGAGGATTAAAGAGGACGACAACAGGTTGAGTTTTTCAGGTAGGAGGCAGAGCTACACTCAGGGATTAGGACTTGTTTAGACCTTCAACTGAGAGAAACATCTGGAGGCTTCGTGGCCTCAGATTCAGTCAGAGAAGAAATGTATGAGTCATGTGACTGAGTCCTTGTGGTTAAACATCAACACACCAGCCAATTAGAGCAGCCGCTGAGAGCAGGCTTTTAATTCAGGACAAGAGAGTAGTCATTAAACACACAGAGAGAGAGAGAGAGAGAGAGAGAGAGAGAGAGGAGAGAGAGAGAGAGAGAGAGAAGCTCCGTGACCACTGCGAACTCTGGGAAGGGCAGTGACAGTATCTGCTTCTCATTAACTCCACCCAGGGTTCCTCTGTGGTGTGTGTGTGTGAGTGTGTGCAAGGGTGAAAGTTTGGGCTCAACATTGGTGTCCCTACCAATGGACACAACAACTCCTCCAAAACAAAGAGGACCTCTTAATGCTGTCAACAGAATGGTTTATTAACATATTTTCTGTATTTACATTAAAATCTGAATTTACCTATAGTGACATTTGAATAAAAACTGTTAAACTGTGATGAAGATAAAGGCCTGTTGAAGATCTGCTGCCCCCTGCTGGGATTACTGAACCTGACGAGTCCAAACCAGAATCTGTCTGACCAGTCTCTGATTCTGATCTGTTTCCCATGATGCTCTCTGTTCTGTTGTGTCTGCTGCTGAAGGGAGAGACCCAGACAGAGAGAGAGAGAGAGAGAGAGAGAGAGAGTGTGTACTTCTTCAGTTTTTTTTTTATGTTTCCAGGTTTATGGAACTCAGATTTATAAAAAAAATTGATGATCAGATAAAACAACACATCAGGTGTTTTCCACTGTTGTGTTACATCTCATCCAGTAATCAATTCATCAATAATATAAATAATAAAGTAGCTGCTACTTTAAATGTGATTAGTAATATTATATATGAACACACACACATTCTTCTTCTCTCTTTAAATAACTTTCCTGTTCCCTTGAATGATGAACAATAAGGTATCCATAAAGAAAATTGAAATGAAAAAAATAAAGCGGAGAGGGAGGGAGGGGGATTAGAAGATGAGAACCAGATTTAAATGGTGGGGCGGGGGGGATCTGATAAATTTAGATTTTCATCTTTTAACTTGTCTACACACACACAGGCCAGTCTTCACTTGTGAGGACCCTTGTTGATACACTCCCTGACCCCTGTACCCTTCAAACAGAATCACACCACATGTTATAATGTGTCCTGACACGCTGATCTCCTCCAGCTGTTTATTTAAACTGGTGAGATGTGTTCAGGTGTGGTGCTTAGCATTAGCAGTGGCTGCGCTGCCCCCCCCCCCAGCTCGAGGAGCCGGTGCAGCCACCGCCCCCCCCGCAGGTCACAGTTCGACTGAGCCGCATAATCCTTTATGACATCATCGGTTTCTTTACAAATAAAACTGACACCACCTCCTCCTCACAGCTGACACTGTTTAGTTACTGGTTTATACTCAGACTGCTCGTCTCTGAGCTTCAACTGTCTCCTCATCTCAACCATTAAATGGTCTAGACCAGAACCCAGACGAGACCAGGGGTGTGCTGCTGGGACAGACAGAGACCGCCCAGCTGCCAAACAGGTGATACACCTGATCACTGTTCCCACCATTCACTCTCATGGTGTTATTACACAGTGTCTTTGTGAAGACCGTCTCCAGCTGCAGGACATTGTTCAAACAGCAGTTCATGAGTCAGAGATTTTAGCTGGACACACACACACACACACACACACACACACACACACACACACACACACACACTCTCTTAGTGAATCTTCAGAGGGAAAAAAACATCAACTATTGATGAAGCTACTGCCTCTGTGCCTTCGAGCCAAACAGACACTGCTACACACAATTGCACCTGAATGTCTCAGTGTATGTGTGTGCGCGTGTATCAGTGTGTTTGTGTGTATCAGTTGTGTCAGTGTGTGTGTATGTGTGTGTGTATCAGTTGTGTCAGTGTGTGTGTTGAGGATGAATGTAGGTCAGGCAGCAGATTCTCCGCATGGCAACAATGTAGAAAATCCCAACTGTGAATACTCGCATCTGATTGGCTGAGAGCTTCAGCCAGGCAGCCAATAACCTTTCAACCCCCAGGGCGCTGTGTGTGTGTGTGTGTGTGTGTGTGTGTGTTACAGTAGACTCTCTCACACACTGAAACAAAGCGTGGCATTCAGGTGACATCACAATGACATCACAGATACAGCAGGTGAGTGGGCGGAGTCACAGACTGAGTCCTGAATGACTTTAGAAATTCACTTCAATTCCCAGAGAGCACTGCTGCAGGAACCATCCAATCAGAGAGCTGCAGAGCCTGTTGCTGTGCAGCTGATGGAGAAGTCAGAGAAATTCACACATCTGGATCAGATCTGGATCAGATCAGGATCAGATCAGCTGCTCATCATCTGATCATCATCTACCTGTGATGTCACAGCTCTGGACCAAGACGTCCCCATAGTAACAGCTGCTGAGCCTCATGGGTACTGAGGTGTTTAAAGCCACCCCACAGACCAAACATCTGGTTTTTCAGGAGGATGGAATCCAGCCTGACAGGTCCTATTCAGTTCTGCTCGTCCCTGCTGGTCCCTGCTGGTCTCTGCAGGGTCCTGCTGGTCTCTGCTGGTCTCCACAGGGTCCTGCTGGTCTCTGCAGGGTCCTGCTGGTCTCTGCAGGGTCCTGCTGGTCTCTGCTGGTCTCTGCAGGATCCTGCTGGTCCCTGCTGGTCTCTGCAGGGTCCTGCTGGTCTCTGCTGGTCTCTGCAGGATCCTGCTGGTCCCTGCTGGTCTCTGCAGGATCCTGCTGGTCTCTGCTGGTCTCTGCAGGATCCTGCTGGTCCCTGCTGGTCTCTGCTGGGTCCTGCTGGTTTCTGCTGGTCGAGGGCTAAGATGACTGTGAAGAAAGACTGTGAAGCTCTCTGATTGGCAGTTTGTTAGTGAGATGCATCCTGGGAGTCGTAGTAGATTTCAGCAGAGTTGTTGGGATGTTTACATTTAATTTGATTGATGTCAGTAACTGAAGAAATTAACAGAATAATCTGTTTCCTGCTCCTGGTCCACGGACCAAAGCTTGAGAAGCGCTCAATGAAACCAACAATAATGAATAAAATAATTAAAACCAGCTGCCACATTAATTATAGATGAGCAATAAAGCAGTTATATCATAACATGAAGACTTTTACTTTGAAACTTTCACTCTGTTGATGAAGCTGTGCTTTTACTCTGAAGAGTGAGATTCTGAACTTTCACTGAAATAAACAGAGTAGAAGCAGTAGAAGAAAATGAGTAGGGTGAGGAGGGGTCAGACTCAGACTGATCATACATCTGAGCGACAGCTTATTGTGAGAAAATCCTCAGATTAGAAAACACTCAGCCTGAATGCACCACACTGTGCCTCAGCTGTTGAACCGACACTTCCAGTCACGGGGCTGCTCCTGAACGCACCACACTTAACCTCCGCTGATGAACCAACACTTCCAGTCAAGGAGCCACTCCTGAACGCACCACACCGAGCCTTAACTGATGAACAACCACTTCTAGTCACGAAGCCACTCCTGAACGCACCACACTGAGCCTCTCTCCTACATTTACTGCAGTATTTTCTCTGACTTTGTACCTCACCTGCATCTCTGAGTGAAATCTATAGTTTCTAATGCAGCTTCATAAACTGGAGCCTGAAGTCAATTAAACAGCATCATAATATTAATAACAATTGTAATAATAATAATAACAACAACAACAACAATAATAATAATAATGATAATAATAATAATAATAATAACAACAACAACAACAACACTTTAACTCTGAGGACACTGAAAATATTGATGTAGTTTTACTCAGAGATGATTGTGACAGAATATAATCCACATATTTACGCTCAGGACAGCGGTGAGAGGATGTGATCACCAGGCAACAAATGTAAAATTTTCAGAATAAAGTCAGACTGAGAGATCACATGTCTCTGTCTCTTCTGTGGATCTGACTGCATTTATTTTACATTTTTATTGATTATTGATTCTGAGGCTGTGTCTTTCTGAGCTCCTCCTTTCTCTGTCACTGTTCATGTGAGTCAGGTGGAGTTTACCTGCGTCACTTTGATCAGAAACACTGATGATCTTCATCTTCATCCTTATTTTTTATACTCGCAGCAGGAAACAGTCACTAAGTGAAGCAGAGACTCGGAGACAAAAACCTGCAGAAGCTGAAATATTCATTGCAAATCAACAGTCATGTGACATCTGCCTGCTCTCTGATTGGTTGATTCCTCTCCCTCCTGACAGACTGACAGAAACTGATCCAGTTTATATTTACACTGTAGATCATGAATCCGGATCATGATTCTGTTCCTACGACTTTTCTCTCCCTTTCAGTCAAATCATGTGGTCTTCCTCAGCAGATGTTGAAGATGATAAAGCTGAATTAAAGTATATTATATTATATAATATGATAAATATAATATCATTATATTATATAAAGTATATTCTGGTTGCTAAAAACATGTAGAAGAATGAGGAAGAAAAGAAGCTGCAGAGAACAGAGCTGAAACTATTGATCACTGATTAGCAGTTTGATAATCGATCAGTTGTTTGAATTATTTTCAAACAATCAGACACCTGGACACTCACCTGTCACAAGTATTTTTAACTATTTAACTATTGACAAAATAACAAATTGATTGATAATGAAAATGACATGAGCTGCAGCTGTTTGTGTGGAACTTCACTTCATCAATTTGACATTAAATTAATTGACAAACTTCTGCCTCAGTGGTTTCCTGGATACAAACTTCTCTGTATCTTTATTGTCAAACCACAAAGTGACACTGAACAGACTGAAGAACATCATATGGTGACCATCTGTGATCAGCTGTGATCAGAGTGATGATCAATTTAAACAGTTAATGTGTGGAAGTGAGACAAAGCAAAACATTTAGATTCCATGAAACTCATATGGCAAACAGCTCTTCTCTCTCTCTCTCACACACACACTCACACACACACACACTCACACACACACACACACACACACACACACACACACACACACTGCAGGCACGTGGCGCTGGGTGGAGACACTGCCAAAATAACAACAGAACTGATGAACAAACCTCCGTGTTTCCCTTCGTCTCTTTAAACTTCCGTCACGTCAAAAACAAAATTTTCTGAAACTGTTGGATCACGCTCAACAGGAATAAAATAAACCAAACCGCATTAAAATCTGACCTGATTCTTGCCGCTTTCAGAGCAGCGGAGGCACCAGAGAAACGACACACAGTCTGAATGGACCTCTCATTATTCTCAGTTATATAACCGATCAGTGTTTTGATCCGGGGCCGAATCACAGAGCAGCTGATCACAGTTTCAGGATCTGCTCACTTCCCTTCTCTTCTTTGTGTGCTGCTGCCCACGAGCCCAGTAACCTTAAGACGACCAACTTTTAAATGGAGTCTGGCCTGCGGGTTCCTCCATGTTGGAGGGAGCAGTGTGACCTGTTTGCTGGTGTTGGCGGGTAAAGATCTCCTACCTGGATCACCTGCGGCTCCTGATCACCTGTGGGCCTCTGTCCGCTGACTTTTCTTCTACGGCGGGGATCGAACCTGCGATTCCTCCGTCACATCATCCACAACCCAGAATCCAGAATCCAGAATCCAGAATCCAGCACCCCTGGAGTCAGACCCGCAGACCCGCTGCTCTGTCAGCTGATTGTCTCCCGCTGCGGCTCGCGCTCTCTCTCACACCAGGTGTGTTCGATGACCTGACTGATTGATTGACTGATTGTTGACGGTGATTGTCGCCTCTTGCAGCGGCTCCGGGAGGGAACGAGCTTATCAGTGCGGCTGCAGACGCTGATCGATCATCGCGGATCGATGATCTGATCAGATGATGGATCATTCATCACTCTTCATCCTCCTCCTCCTCCTCCTCGTCGACAGCCTCCCGCCCGTGTTCAGACTCTGAATGAAGCTCCATCAGCACCACGCGGCGCGCTCACAACACCACGCGGCGGGCACGCGCGCGTCCACGCTCTCGTCTGTGCGCGCACACAGACTCAGCATGGAGACGGATTTAAATTGTGATTCGATCCGTGATCGAACAGATCGATAATCTCAGCAGATCCTGGTCCCAGTCCTCCATCCAGTCCAGCGAGGTCCAATCCAGAGGGTGAAATGTTTCAGGTTTAGAGACGGATTCAGATCCCAATAACAGATCAATAATTAATAAATCAGTTTCTTTATAGAAGAAAAACAACAAAGCAGACGAGACGATAAGTCACAGAGACCAGTGAACCAGTGGCGCTGCTCTCTCTTCTTGGTACCAATGAGGACTCTGCAGCTGCAGGTGAGTCCAGGTGAGACTGAATCCAGGTCTTTAAACCTGAATCAGAGAAAACTGATTTCTAGCACAGGGCTCAATATTTTATTCCTCTGCACAGAACTGAGAGAATAAATAATCCCGCTGCTGGTTCCAGTCCAGCCAGCCAGCCAGACGCGCGTAAACAACACTGAAAACACCAGTGATATTTAAAGCTTCTGCTGTTTTCCTCACTGTATGTGCGTGCGTGTCTGATATAAACAGGTCTGAATGTCTTGTTTGTCCTTTAAAGGTCTGAAGAAAAACTTCATGAAGCCACATATTCAGTAACTGAAACATCAATATAATCAATAACTAACTAGGACTTAGGTCTGATCACTGTTCACCTGTGATCACCTCAGTGAATATTATATAAAAAACACACATGCCACCTCTCCCATGATTCTGACCACCCCCCACATTTAAAAACACTTCTGGGCTGGTACTTCTGCTCCCGTGCGAGACCTGGTCCTCTGGTTTCAGGACCCGGGGCCAGATGCATAAATGACACAAACAAAAAACATGTGAACGCCATTTCCTGCACATAAATTAGTATTTATAAACAGAATGTGTCACCTGACACATTCTTTTGACCATGTGTTCACACAGTTTTCCAGAGTGATCCACTTTACAGTGAAGTGAATAAGCCATTTAATTTAACAAAAAATAAAATAACTTCTCAGAGCTTTTGTGCGTACACACATTTTCAGTCATGAATCTTCACAGAGTTTTATGCATCTGGCCCCTGGTCTCCTGGTTCCAGGCTGCGCTGTCTCCTGTGAAGTAAACCGGAGTCTGGACTCTAACAGGAAGTGGACTCCACACGGCCGGTAAAAAAATGCTCTAAAAATCTTTATTGTTCCAGAGAATATTGACAAACAGCTGGAAATCCACCGACCAATGAGACGCTCTGATGGCAGCTGAACGCTTCAGCAACAGAAGAAGAAACTGTTCTTACAGATGTTTATAAAAAAGAAAAATTACAGGAAGAAAATAATTTAGAGAGTAGGTTTAAACTCCGCCCCCTGATGGGTGTGTGACATTTGATGTTTAAATTGACGTCTGACAGACAGAACTACAATTCATATAAACTCAAACTTTATTGTTTCCATCTGAAGGTGAAAAGCTGTTGTCTCCACCCCTCGCTTTCTCCATGAAAAAAAACAAAACAAAACAAAAAACAAACAATAAAAAAAAAAAAACTGTAGAAGAACTGAGTCCTGATTGGTCGATAATGTACAAATATCCTACAAGTCTTTTATTTTGTTTGTTTCCTGTGAGACAGGAAGCTGTCAGAGCCCAGTCTCCTCCTCATGATGGTAACCACCTGCTGGGTGGAGCTCGAGACAACGGTAGCCAATCACCGTCCTCAGCAGCAGTGGGCTCCTCCTATTGGTGGGTTCTGAACTTCTTTGGTCCTACAGGTTTACTGAAACACAGTTTAAAAAAAAAAAAAAAAAAAAAAGGGACAGTTCACTATAGGTCAGAGATGAAAACCTCCTCCAGACCAGCTTCCTGTTAAAACCACATCAGAACTAAAACCAGAAACATAAGTGTCTGTCTCTGCCTTTCATTTGCCTGTCATTTGTTTTCTCTGATTCACTGGGCAGCAACATTCACACCTGTGCAGATGTACTGTACAATATATCTATAGAGTTTACCTACACAGTACACCTGATGTTGTTGTATATGAGGCACCAGTTCTCTCAGATACTGAATCTGAACACACTGAGGTCTCTACACCACCAGTCACAAGGTTTACAACTCCCAGGGTCAAAAGTCAGAGGTTAACTGAATAGTTCAGGTGACCAGGAATTGAACTGTCCTGTAGATGTGACAGAAAACCTGATGAAGACACTGCTGACCTTTATCTTTCCTGATGATGACAAACCCTGTACAACACTGTACTGCAGGAAGGAAGTCCTCCTTCCTGCAGTACAGTGTTGTACTGCAGAAAGGATGTACACTCATGTCAGAGAGGAGGGAAAAAGACAGACTGATTGGTCAGGGCTTCATCCTGCAGCAACATAATGAGCTACAACATAAGAAGACCAGAACATGATCAAGACCAGACCAGTCTCCAGCCCTGAACCACATCGAGTCTCAGACTTTTAACAGCTGATAAAGGAGGTAGTAAACCTCTGATCTGTAGTGTACAAACAGTGTTAGTTTGTATGATGGTTCTTACAAGTCAGGAGAAGGTCCTGGTCTCTTCACTGCTGGTTTGGCATCTTTACTGGTTTCTACAGGAGAAAAACACAAACAGCTGATCAACAGGACTGAACCCTCTTCTTCTCTGTTCTTTAGTTAAAGGTCTTAAGTTCTGATTCTACCTCTGCTGCTTCAGGTTCTGAGGCTCTGGACCTGCATTGACCTGCAGGTCCACTGGTCGTAGTGATCTCACCTTGTAACCACCGGACCTGCGTTGCCGGCCCGTATCCCTTCTGGTTGCGAGCAGCGATGCGGAAGATGATGGCGGGTTTGGTGGTGTAGTCGATGTGGGCGTTAGCGAGGCTGGAGGCCTGGACCAGGCAGGACGGGTTGGGACCACAGTAGACCCTCATGAAGGCCAGCTGGGCAGGAACAGAACCTGAACCGGAGGTGGCCTGGCTGGACTGGATGGCCAGATATACGGAGTACTCCATGATCTTCCCCGATGTGACAGCAGGAGGCTCCCAGGTGAGCTGAGCTCCGTCCAGGTTCTGCAAACCCACAATGAAAGATAAGGACCTTTAACAGCTGAATCTTTTTCAGAGGCCTCAGTGACTGAACCTCATTTCCTATGATCCTCTCTGTGGATCAGACTGCAGCTGTCAGGTTTCATAGTGCAACATCAACTGATGTTAGGAAACAGGTTCTGACTGCCAGCAGTCGGAGCAGGAGGTCTACCTAAAATTTATCCATCTGTTCATCCATTCATTCAACCATCCATCACTCGCTCGCTGTTCTCAGTTTGCCTCCTCTCGGCCTCACACAGACCAGTGTATACGGATGAATCTGCAGAGTGATGAGGTCACAGTGATTTGCTCTGGATGGATCTGTAGATGCACACACATGGGCACACACACACACACAGGTCTCTGTGGACTTTACAAACAGGTGTCTCACCTTACTGATCTTGATGGCGCAGGGTGCTCCAGGGAAACCAGGCAGACACGTCTTAAACGCCGACACCTCGGAGAACGCTCCACGGCCGCAGATGTTGATCCCTGCAACACGGAACTTGTAGGCCGTCCCCGGCTGCAGCTCCACCCTCCTCATTTGACTGTAGTCCGGCATCACACCTGAGTCGTCCTGCATGTTATCAATAACCTGATCAACACGCCTGAGTCATCTTGCCAATATCTAATCAATACTGTGTTCAACAAATAACAAAATAAAAGCCTCCTTTATACACTGGTTATATAGGACAGACCAAACAACCAGTCTGAGACCACCCGAACTGATCCATGTTATGAAGTGTGAAGCTCTTACGTCGGCCATGTTGTCGTCGTACGGGACGTAGTAGTGAGAGACCACCATGTTGGTAACCTTGACAATGCCGACATCACACCACCGATTGTCCCTCACCGAAGACTTCATCTGGACCCCCTGATCCAGTATACATAGAGACACACACTTGTGTTACATTAGTTGCGAGGACTCTCCTTGATGTATTACATCTCTAGCCCCAAACCCTTTTAGCATGTTGTTAGCATGTCTTCTGTGTGTTTGCTGCCTCCTCCGACCCTCCAGCAGCTGCTTCTCACCCCTGTGGTTGCTGCGATGCCATTGGTCACCTCTGTCACTGTGGCAGCAGCTTGGATTTTAGTTGGACCAACTGTCAGAGCAGGGGCGGGGCTGAACGTGCTGGCCAATCGGGCAACGGCGCTCGTTACTGCTGATGATGTGAGCTCGTGCCCGTTACTCTCTGCTGCAGGGTCATTGAGGCTGTCTGCTGGAGCCAGGCCCTCTGGAAAACAGGGTTAGAAAACTTTTCTGAACACATCTGGAACAAGTCTGAGCAAACTCAGTCTGAAAGGACCTTGGTCAGGACCAGATTACTGACTGTCCTTGTCTCTTTATTCTCTCTACCTGTGGGCACATTGCTGTGCTGTGATTCTGGTTCTGCAGGTTCTGGTTGGTTGTGGATGTCCTGCAGCTGCTGTTGGACCAGAGCTGCCAGTTCCTGCTGTGTCAGAACGATGGGGATGGACTGATCCACCTCTGCTTCACCTGCAGACAGAGACAAACATGTAAAGACACAGTGACCACAGAGTCCAGTTTCTAACAGCTCTGCGAGCGGATAAGGGACCAGTGCTCCCCCCACAAGCTCTGAGGAACAAGACTCTCTGAGACCAACTCCTAACCCTGGACAGAACTCCAAACACCATGTCTACTGACACCAGATCCCACTTGATAACACTAAACTCGTCTGAGTTTGAGAAGATCTGACAGGAGTACTGAGATAAACTGACCAGATCCAGGTTCAGAACCTGCAGAGACTAAGAAGACTGAAGCTGGAACTGCTGCTGAAAGGGGTCCAACAAAGACCTGGATTAATGTCTGAAGACTTTTGTAAAGGAGATACTTTTAAATTTGTCATTATCATCATTGATTATAGACTTATCAGAAAAATCTAAATTTTTATCACTTTACAATTAAATCTACAAAGAGGGTATCTGAGTGTGTGTGTGTGTGTGTGTGTGTGTGTGTTACCAATGTGTCCCGCTGCCTGCAGTACAGCCTGTATTGTCGCCTGCTGAGCTGCTTCCTCCGTCACAGTCAGCTGATCTGGGGTCAGTCCTGTCGTCATGAGGGTTGTCGTCCCGGATACCACCTCACCTAGGTCCCCTTCTGATGACATCAGCTCCTGAGGAAGACCACTGTCCGATGTCCCTATCTGAGTTTGGAGTGGGGATGGTTAATATTACTCTATGTACCTCTGTATGTACCTGTGTGTGTGTGTGTGTGTGTGTGTGTGTGTGTGTGTGTGTGTGTGTACCTGTGCTGCTGCCTCGCTGTCCTCCACATGAACCTGCAACACTGACGATACTGATGACATCACAGCCTCAGAATGGCTGTCAGTATGCAAAGGCTTCTCCACCACCTCTGCAGCTGCTGTCACCATGGCGACAGCCACTGTCTCAGAAGACTCCGCCCTGTCATCTCCGACCAATGAGGATATCTCCTACACACACACACACACACACACACACACACTGTCAGTATCATCCCCTCTGTGTTTGTGTGTTGGTGTGTGTGTGTGTGTTTGTGTGTGAGACTTACAGGTATGGATGGTCCAGGTGTGGGCGTTGCCTGTGTAACCGTGGTAACAGCTCTGCTCTGACTGGTTGTGGTGGAGGAGGCGGAGTCAGAGGAGGAGACTGGGTTTGTGGAGTCTACCTGCAGACCGTCTCCACCCTGCTGAGCTGGAGACACAGAGACCAGGAAGTGAGGTCACTTCCTGCTGAGTTTACCTGATGCACCTGTACCTGCAGTCTGCTGAGTACCTGATCTTCAGTCACAGAACTGGATCCAGCTGATCCTGGACCCAGATTAACTCACATTTCATCATGTTTCATAACCTTCAAGCTCTGAACTGAGCGACCAGACTGAACCTGATCCACAGACTGAACCTGATTCACAGACTGATCCTGATCCACAGACTGAACCTGATTCACAGACTGAACCTGATCCACAGACTGAACCTGATCCACAGACTGAACCTGATTCATAGACTGATCCTGATCCAGACTGAACCTGATTCACAGACTGAACCTGATCCACAGACTGAACCTGATTGACAGACTGATCCTGATCCAGACTGAACCTGGTTCACAGATCCTGTCATCATCTCTTTCTGTTGTATCTGCAGTGTTTACACTTGTCTGGATCAGTACACTATCTGTTCTTGACAGACCTCCCTCTGTGACCCTTATGCTTCCAGGTCATCTCCAGGACTAGCTGAAATAATGCCAGGTTTTCCAGGACCTGGTCTAACAGGTATAGTCCAGGTGTGTAGGTGTGTCAGCAGGTTACCTGTGGCTGTGGTAGCAGTGTTGGTGGTTCCTGTCTCATGTGTCTCACATGGTGGATTTGAACACACCTGAAACCAGAAATGGAGAGTTTTAAACCTGGTATACCTTTAACTTGTGCTCACCTGTCGATCCACCTGTTGTCTCACCTGTCTGAGTCCTCCAGCTCCTGCTGTGGTAGCGGTGTTGGTGGTTCCTGTCTCATGTGTCTCACATGGTGGATTTGAACACACCTGAAACCAGAAATTGAGTTTTAAACCTGGTTTACCTTTAACCCATGCTCACCTGTCGATCCACCTGTGGTCTCACCTGTCTGAGTCCTCCAGTTCCTGCTGTGGTAGCGGCGTTGGTGGTTCCTGTCTCATGAGTCTCACATGGTGGATTTGAACCCACCTGAAACCAGAAATGGACAGTTTTAAACCTGGTATACCTTTAACTTGTGCTCACCTGTCGATCCGCCTGTGGTCTCGCCTGTCTGAGTCTTCCAGCTCCTGCTGTGGTAGCGGCGTTGGTGGTTCCTGTCTCATGAGTCTCACATGGTGGATTTGAACCCACCTGAAACCAGAAATGGACAGTTTTAAACCTGGTATACCTTTAACTTGTGCTCACCTGTCGATCCGCCTGTGGTCTCGCCTGTCTGAGTCTTCCAGCTCCTGCTGTGGTAGCGGTGTTGGTGGTTCCTGTCTCATGAGTCTCACATGGTGGATTTGAGCAGGTGTTTCCTCCATTCAGACTGACAGGAAGGGGAGGAGCAGACTGCTGAGCTGGAGGCTGGATAGAGCTCACCTGTGGGGGAGAGGGGAGGACCTGCAGGTCAGGGGAGTCGTACAGGTAGTGTAGGTGTACAGGTGTGATGAGGAATGTTCAGGAGCTTCCTCTGATGATCTACAGGTAAGGACAGCTGATCATCAGTAACAGGTGACTTCTGATCACATAGTCTCTGCAGTTTGAGCCGATCTGAGTTGGTTCAGTGTTAGTTCTGGTCCAGACCAGGTCTCAGCCCTGCAGCATGTACAGAGTCCTGACCCAGTTCAACCCAGAGCTGTTGAGCTGTTTGTTACCTGTCTGACCAGATCACCTGAGTCAGGTAACTCACATCATTAATTAAAACACCTGAGTAACTTCACCTGCAGCTCTTGGCTCATGTTGGTGGAGGCAACGGTGGCGGTGTTGGTCGTCCCTGTCTCGTGGGTCTCACAAGGTGGGTTGGAGCAGACTCTGTCGTCACTGCCGATTGCTGCTGTGGCAATGGTGGCGGTGTTGGTCGTCCCTGTCTCGTGGGTCTCACAAGGCGGGTTGGAGCAGACCAGCGTCACTGCAGTATCATCAGTGACATCATCAACACAGCTGATTATTTCCTGCTGAGTGAGGTTGTACTGCAGTGTTAGTGCTGATATCTGTATCTGACTGGTCTGAGCAGTACTCGTAGTACTGGTTCCTGTACCTGTAGTAGTTGAAGTACCTCCAGCTGACCCCTCTACAGTGGTAGTAGTAGCAGTACTTGTAGTACTTCCAGGTTCTTCTGAAGTAGGAGAAGCCATGATGGAGACGGGCAGATCCTGGACCAGTAGATCCTGGACCAGAGGCTGAGCTTCAGCACCGCTGGGAGTCGTGATCAGAGTCACCTGCAGAGGGGAAACAGTATTACTGTACTACTACAGTATTTCAACAGAACCCCATAGAGTATTACTACAGTACCACAGTATAACTACAGTACTATTACAGTGCTACAGTCCGACAGGTTGTATTTTACCTGTTTTGGTCCTGCTAAAGTAGCAGTTGCCGTGGTAACCTGGCTGGCCAGTGAAGCAATGGATGCCAGGGTGGTGATAGGTGTTGCTAGTGAGGCGTTGGCAGCAGCAACAGCTCCACCGGCCATCGTGGTGGAGACACTTCCTGTTACTGTTCCCAGACTGGACACACCTGCAGAGACAAAAATACAGACTCACCTGTCAGAGACTCACCTGTTGAGTCTGAGTCTGTCTACTCAGAGACAGACATTTCTACAGGTGATTCATTGCAGGACCTCCTGCAGTGTGGTCTTGTGGGGGCACCCAGCACCTGACCCATGTTTACCTGTGGTTGCCTTGACGACCATGACGGTGGATTTGGAGCCGACAGCTCCTGGTGACACCAGTCGGACTCCGCTCATTGGGACGGTCCTGAGGATAGTACCAGGTGTACCTGGAGCTCCTTTCAACACCACCTGAACACACACACACACACAAGAAATCTGTAATTTGGAAAATTTAGTTTTTCTAACCCCCTTCACCGATCACAGAAACTAGGTTTTATGCTTCCATGATTCTTGAAGCTGGACTTGAAGCTGCTGAGTGATCACTCTTGGCTCACTGCTGACAGGATGTGTGTGTGTGTGTGTGTGTGTGTGTGTTACCTGTGTGACCCCCTGCTGGCCGCCTGCAGTGATTTTGGGGACAGTGGTGATGATCTTTCCCACAGTTCCTGGAGTTACCATTTTGGTGGTCAGGATGGTGATTGGACTGCTACCACCTGCAGAGGGAGGGGCTTCACTCAGTCAACCATCACACTAGAAATAAAAGCTCAGGTATTCAGGTGTGTGTTGTTCATGTACCTGCTCCCCCCTGCAACGCAGACACTGGGATGGTTTTGAAGATGGTGGTTCCGGGTTTGGAGGATGTCGGGGAGACGCCCAGGATGGTGGGTTTGGTTGGTGTGGATCCGGCCTGTGTGGCGCTGAGGATGGTAGTCTGTTTACCATCTGCTGACGTCACCAGTTTCAGGATGGTTCCTGCTGGGAGGCCGCCCTTTGTCTGGAACAGAGACACAAAAGGTTAATATCTGAACTGCTCCAGGAGAACTCTGGGTAGAAACCATTAGAAATGAGTAGAAACCAGTAGAACTCTGGATTGAAACCATGGTACCTGGATGATCTGGGTGACAGGGCTGCTCCCAGCCTGACCAGTAACCGCTCCACTCTGAACTGGTTTGGTTTGGACCATGGACACCACCTTCCCCAGGTTACTGAGGTTACCAATCTGAAACAGAGGCAGGATGCTGTCATCAGATCTGTCAAAATGAACATACAGGTGTGGGGTCACGCCCAGCAGGTAACACTCACCAGAGCCCCGCCTCCTCCCACACTAAGTGGACTGTTAACGAGAGTGATGGTCTTTGTGACTCCGCCCACTACCGTGGTGACCACCTGGGCCTGTTGGGACACTGTCACTGTGCCCGACTTATGGACTGTGATGATTGGTCGGGTGGGGGTCCCTGGAGTGGAGACTACTGAGGCCCCGCCCACCTGAGCAGCAGCTGTCTTTAACATCCGAGTGGCCGGGTTGCTCACCTGAGACAGAAAACAGGTGAGTCTTCCTTCTGTTGTGTGTGTGTGATGGTCTCGGCAAGTTCTGCGGTTTCTGCTGCAGGTCTCAGTATCTATGTTTATCTAAACTGACAGATTCTAGATCTGCCTGAAGTCACCTGCCTCACAGCTTCTCTGAGGCTCTGCCCCTATAAAAGCCCTCATCTCCCTCTCTCACTCAGCCCTCTGAGAGCTGGTTGGATTTCTACACCTCAGACCTACCTGAGCTACACTTGCTGCTGGAGGCCTCAAACGGCACCTCAAACCAGGCCAAGCATGTTTATAGTTTGAGGCCCCATGGCTGAGGTTCATGTGGACAGGTGTTTCAGTTGTTTCTGGTGTTTGTTGTTGTTTTATGATGATAACTTTCCTGTATTAAACCTGATCATTTAATTTCCAAAATTTCCTGTGACACCTGCAGTTCTTATGTTACCAACACAACATGACAAACTGTGTAACCTCGCACGGATGGCTGTAGTCTGTAGTTACCATGGTAACAGGAGCAGCCACTTTGACTGGCAGACTGTTGGATCCTGGACTGATAGCCACCGTCTTTACAATCGTGGCTCCTGCAGCGACGTTCAGCACAGTCGGCGAGGACGGAGGGATCTTCTGAGTTGCTGCAGCCGCTGCCGCCAACGCCGCCATACCACTCATCTGAGAACCGCTGCCTATTGGCTGAAAGCATACGGACAGCAGGACAGAGGTTCAGTGCTAGAAGTCATATACCAGAGCTTTTAGTCGTATCTCATGGCCTTCAGATAAATACAACCACCTGTTGTCATGTGACTGAAATTTGACACAGGACACACAGTCACAGTTGAACCATCTCCATGACAACTGGTATGTTGTTACTTGGAGCTGTAGAAATAAAACTGAACTGAATGACAACAGGTGATTGTACTGAGGTAGACAGGGCTTTGCCATCAAGAAAACTGATCCATCTAATTTACAACTCCACAAACTGTTTGTGGTTGAAAGCTCCAGTAAAAGTAAGTGGAACAGTTAAGGTAACGGAGACAGAAATCTACCTACCGTCCCCTGTCCGGGCTGAGCAGGTACCACCATACGAACACCTGCAGGAAGTGTCGTCACAGCAACCGGGGATTTGGGCGCGGCCTGTCTCACTGTGACGACAGAGGCTCCTCCCACTGCACCTGCAGCTGCTGCCACCTTCAGGACAGCTGCAGAAACACAACAGGTGAGAAATCTTCACATCTACCTGTTCTATCATTTGTAGATGTATGTGTGCAGGTGTGTGAACACACCTGGTGCTTTGGCAGCAGCCAATGGGCTTCCAGGTATGGAGGCAGTGGGGGAGGGGAGCAGCGTGATGCCAGACAATGGGATGGCCTGGGTCGCAGGTGCCATGGCGATGGGGCTTTTGGGGGAACTGGCTCCAGGTGTGGCAGTGGGGACAGGGTTGGGGGCTGGGCTGGAGGCAGGTGAGGTAGTTGCAGGTGTAGCAGGGATGTCGTACTTCTGCACCTGCAGTAGGTAAGTGTCTGCGGTCTGTGATGGCCCCCAGCTCACCTCCAGAGACGACGTGTTGGCCCGGACCAGCTGCACCCGAGAGGGAGCACAGGGACGCTCTGAGGACAGACAGGTGAGACAGGGTCAGACACACAGGCAACATCACATCAGACAGACAGGTGAGACAGGCAGGAGCCAGTCCTCAGCAAGCCAGAGCTCAAACCTCAACCTCAAAACATTTCATTCTGGTTTCTGCCCACAACACAGGACTGAGTGCTCCTCAAGGTTACCAACCACCTGCTGCTCTCTGCTGACTCCTCCTCCACTTCCACCTCAGACTCCCCTTCTTTCCTGATCTGAAGCCACAGTGACCTCTGACCTCTTTCTTTCACTTGAAACAAACAACCTCAACCTCTGACCTCCTGACACCTTCATCCAGCCACATGCAGACTGGATTCACTGACAAACCTTAATCCTGTTCAGTGAACTCCACCACATCCACAGCTCCTCTGTCTCACTCTTGTCAACAGGGGCTCAAACTCAACTATAGAAATAAAAATGTACTATTATTGTTGTACACAGCACCAGTGCTCCTCACCTGTCTCCAGGTACCAAAGGTCCTTGCAGCACACCTGGTTGTTCCAGGCCTTCCTGTATCCGTCCCTGCCACTCCAGATGTAGAGTCTGGAGTTGATGGACACGCTGCAGTGACCTGCTCGAGCTCTGGGGACGTTCTCTTCCAGATTTTCCATCACGACTGTCTCCCAACACAGGGTGTCTGAGCAGAGAGGCAGGTAAACAGACGGGTAGATAAAAAGGCAGACAAATAGGTAAACAGTCTGTGTGACTTTATTTATCATGTGTGGTCAGATGTCCCCTGTGGAGTTTTTGGCCTCTAGTAACCTCTTTGTTTATGCAGATGCACCAGTGTGTTCACATGGGTGACGTGACACACACGTCCTACCAAAGGTTTTCACATGAAATCACAGATCTACAGTGTAGACACTGTGCCAACAAAGATCAAGGACTGTGAAGGAAATATTAATGTAAACAACATTTTTCCTAAAATCCTCTTTGAACATGTTTAATGAGGAAGGACTCAGAAATTGTCTTCATCATGTCTGAACTGTAGGATACGAATTTCTTAGATATTAGAGGGAGACATGAGAGTGGATCTTCACTCTCCTGTTGTGACTCTGACTTCATTGTTGAAGTGGCCTGTCTTACAGAGTTTCCCACAGGTGGAGAATTTACTTGTGGTGGTGGTGCAGTGTGTGACTGATGTGCAAACATAGTCTCATGCTGTTTAGAGGGGGGGACTGTGACCCAGGTTATTTTCTGTCGCAGCAGTTTAACCGATGTTCCTTAAATGCCTCACATGCAGACTGTCAGAGCAACTTCCCTGATGTTTGGTGGCTGCAGCTGGTCCGCTGGTCAGGTGCCTGCAGCCAACCAGCAACCAGAGAGACTAGTACTGTGTGTGTGTGTGTGTGTGTGTGTGTGTGTGTGTGTGTGTGTGTGTGTGTGTGTGTGTGTGTGTGTGTGTGTGTGTGTGTGTACCCAGGTTGAGGCAGGCCAGTGTGTTGGTACACTTCCACTCTTTCTCATGAGTCGCCACTTTAACATCATCCATCACCAGAGGAACCCAACCTCCAAACACATACATCCTGACAGAGAGAAAAACAGGTGGAAAGGGAGACAGGTGGAGGGAGAGAGTCCAGTATAAATGTTAGATTAATATTTGCATTAACAACAGTATTGTAGTATAAGTACGTGTTTGGAGTATTAGTACATGTATCTTACTTGTTGTTGATGGTGGTGGCGGAGTGCAGGCTGCGGGGGAGGGGGGCCATTCCACTGAGGGCTGGTTTCCTCCAAGTCAGAGAGTCTGTGACATCATCAGAACAGGAACCAATCAGAAATCAGTACAGGTTAGTTAAAGCTTGAGCTGTTATCATCCTGTCACTCATTAAACCACCAGACCACTCAAAGTCTGACCACTGTCACTGCCTCACCTGTGCTGAGCGTTCTCTCACCTATGTCTAACCTGTGCTGAGCATAACCTCACCTGTGTCTCACCTGTGCTGAGCGTAACCTCACCTATGTCTCTCCTGTGCTGAGCGTAACCTCACCTTTGTCTCACCTGTGCTCAGTGTAACCTCACCTGTGTCTCACCTGTGCTGAGCGTAACCTCACCTGTGTCTCACCTGTGCTGAGCGTAACCTCACCTGTGTCTCACCTGTGCTAAGCGTTCTCTCACCTGTGCTAAGCGTTCTCTCATCTGTGTCTCACCTGTGCTCAGTGTAACCTCACCTGTGTCTCACCTGTGCTCAGTGTAACCTCACCTGTGTCTCACCTGTACTCAGTGTAACCTCACCTGTGTCTCACCTGTACTCAGTGTAACCTCACCTGTGTCTCACCTGTACTCAGTGTAACCTCACCTGTGTCTCACCTGTACTCAGTGTAACCTCACCTGTGTCTCACCTGTACTCAGTGTAACCTCACCTGTGTCTCACCTGTGCTGAGCGTAACCTCACCTGTGTCTCACCTGTGCTAAGCGTTCTCTCACCTGTGTCTCACCTGTGCCAAGTATGTCTCACCTGTCCTGAGCGCTCTCTCACCTGTGTCTCACCTGTGCTGAGTGGGCCTCACCTGTGCCGTGCGTGCCTCACCTATGTCTAGGACCCATAGGTCTCCCAGTCTGCAGCCGCTCATCCCACCGTAGATGATCAGTTTGTTGGCCGTGCGGCCAGTCGTTGCCACGGCCGTGTGACTCTCTCTGGGCGGCGGCGGCTGACCCAACGTCATCGGGATCTCCCAGCCGACCACACTGGAGCCTGGACGCAGCTCCAAAGAGTACAGGTCATTCAGGTACCTGAGAGGGGTCAAAGGTCAGTCAGAAACATGACAGACAGTCAGTTCTAAAACTGGACCAACAGATTTCAGCTCTGGGATTTTTTGAGGCTTCATGTGGTGTCAAAGTCCAGACGGTCAGACTGTGTCAGATACCTGAGTACACCTGTCTGTCTGTTTCCCACCTGGGGATGTTGTTCTTGGGGTCCTCGCTGTCGTTGGCCAGTCCTCCAAACAGGTAACAGCGACTGCCAATCAGAGAGAAGCTGTGTCCGAGGCGAGGACAGGGGGGGGGTCCATTCTTTGGAGCTTTGGCCTTCAGACGTTTCCACTCCCAGCGACTCGCCTGAAGGGAAGATTTTATTAACAATGCGTTTCTGGACCAGAAGCTCAAACGCTTAAACTTAAACTTAGATCAGTCAGTTAGAAGTCTGAACAGAGGTAGGTCTGAAGAAGCCGGACATTTGGTGGTCACAGATCCTGACAGCTGGAATATAAATTATTAACTAACCCAGGCTTCAGAACCTTTCAGCTCATTAGTTCAACTTTTAAAGACAGATGTGGGGGAAAAAAAGACTAATTATCTTATAATGATTTGATTATTTTTATGTTGCAGCATTTACATGAACATAAATCACTCTGCAGCTCTCCAGTCAGCTCTCCACCTGCTGCTCAGGACCAGGAATGTGTGATAACCTTTAATTAGTCAACATCTGACATGTTGTCCACGTCTTGGGGCCCCGCCCCCTACAGTGACATCACTCACCTGCAACTCATACAGGTCGTTGCTGTATTTGCCGTACTCCACCATCCCTCCGAACACCAGCAGCCTTGTCCCATCACACACGAAGCCGTAGGCGGCACAGCCAGGGGGGACATCACCACGCACCGCAGGGATGAACCACTGGTTGGTGGCTGGTAACAAGTTAGACATGTTACAGTTATACTTCATTAAACTACAGACTGAGATGCAGACTGTGAGCTCTCTCCAAGCTGCTGGCTGCCAAAGATTGTTTGTGAGTGAAGACACATCAGAGAAATTATCAGCTGATCAAAGCTTTTAATTACAGCACAGACATCAGATCAATGTCTGGAGTTCATTAAACTCAAGAGTTCTGGATCAGGATTTGGATCAATTATTATTATTAAGTTATTTTCATATTATTCGTAAGTTATATTGATGTTTATGTTTATAATTATTTGTTATTTTCATATTCTATTAGTATTATGTTTTCACGTTATTTTTATGTTTTATGTTCATGGTACTTCCCGCGGTGTCAGTGTTTTCTACTGCAGCAGGGGGCGTGTCTGTGGCGTCACCAGTGTTTTCAGTAAAAACGCGCCATTTCTCTCCGTGTTTCAGCCAGAGCCGCTGTTAGCTTCCTGCTAATCTTGTTAGCATGCACAGTATCGGTATAAGTTAGCCTAGCCTAGCCTAGCCTAGCAGGCTAATCAAAAGCCCGCATCAGTTAAAGTCTCATCCCCAGAATAAAATCACAACACAAGTTATTTTAGCTTTCAAGCAAAGTTAGCAGTTAGCATCCAGGCAGCATTAACAGATGCAAATCAAAGCAGAGTTAGCATTAGCGTCTGTTCACATTGCTGCTGTATCTCCGCACAGATCCACACTTCACAGATAAGTACCGACATACGGGCCGCGGTTACCCCGCTACCTGTATTGTAGACGTGCAGCTCGTCCACTATCCCCTCGTTCCCTCCGCCGAACACCACCATCAGCTCCTTGATGGCCACGGCTCTGTGTCCGTGCCGGGGCCGCGGAACCGGGCCGGTCCAGCCCACTACGCGCTTCCAGCGGGGCTGCAGCACCGCGGGTTCGGATGCCATGACGCTGCTGTCAGGGTCCGCTCCTCCCGGTCTTCAGTGAGAGAAAAATCCAAGTTTCGTTGAGACTTCAGTAAAAGTTTAAAATCGTCTCCCGCTCGCTAACTGCGAGGGATTAGCATTATCCCGCTAACTAGCTCCGTGGCTAACTTGCCTCGGCTAACTCTGCGGGCTGTGACCAGTGTCTATCCCGGGGTCGGTAACGTGTATTAGACACTGAAAAGCTGGCCTCCAACAGACATAAACTGAAGAACCGGTTTTAAGCTCAGCCCAGATGGTGGCTCAGAGATGGACCGCTGTGCTGTTAACTAGCCCGCAGACTGCAGCGGACAGTCCGCCATTTTACCCGGTGAACACTGTTCAGAGTCGCCAGAAAGTCGCCGGTAGCTGCTCAGGCTGGCACACACAAACGCAGATCAGGCGGCAGGTGAATTCGTTGCACGGCTGCTCCATGCACCGGTGTGACGGGGAACCGTCGAGGTTGCTGGCCGCTGTTAAATACGCAGAGCAGAGGGGCTGTGTGCCGGGAAGGGAGCCGCCATCTTGCTGCTAACAGCAACTAAAGAAAACACAGAGCGGCTAACTGCTAACGGCTAACGGACAAGTCAACACAGCTGACAGTGTCCCACTGTTTACACCGAATAACCTGAAAACACCTGCTTGGTGACACCAGGTTCCTGCAGTGGTCACCAGGTGTAATTTAACACCTTTATCACGGTCACAGCTGTTAAAGGAAAGTAAACAAACAAACCTGCAGTTATTCTGAAGTTCATCGGTTAATTTCCATGTTTTGTTAGAACTTCTCAGCTGTGAATAACAATTATTTATATATATATATATATATATAATAACATAATCACCCCACAACAGTAAATTGATTGTAATCAGCTGTAGTTCATTAAACTGAATTTCACACTAAGATTCTTTGTAGACTTATAACAAGAATAGTAAATTGAATGTAATGATGTTGCTGGTTTACAGAAAGAAAACAGCATTCAGAAAGGGTTTGAAATGGGTGGATAGCACTCCCCCAGTGGGTGAACCTAGGAAGAACAAAAGAACATCACACATGTCAGATTCACATGACAACTGTTTATTTGTGTCAAATCTGAAAAGTCTATATAATATAAAAGTGTTAAAAATTCTATTTAATTAAAATAAATCATTTGTGTCAAAGAAAACAGGAGAAAACATTTCCATCATTTTATAAGTCAAGACTTTCAGATTATAAAATGTGTGAGTTTATTATCAGTGAATGTGAATAAACAGTTTAAAAAAATAAACGTCACTGATGATGATAATGTCAGTAAAGGTCTGATCAGCACAGACACATTTGGAGACATTTGGCCCCTGGACACACACGTGTAAGAGGCCCCCACCCTCCTACACTGGATGAGGGGTGGTTTTATGGTTTGCAGTCATTTTGTGTCTGTTGTCTTTTGATTAACTTTCCAATGATATGATAACAGTCACTTCAAACTGAGGCACAGGACCACGGGCCCCTTAAACCCTGTGGAGGATGTCATACCTTCACGCAAACCTCAGCTGTCCATCGTTGGCTCACTCTGATTTCTCTGTGGTTGATTTGTTTAAACTGACGAAGAGACAGCAGGATCACTATGGGCTCTCGTCAGGGTCAAAAAGACTCTGAGCCTTTGAAGTGGTCACTCATGATTCCACAGTCTAGGGCTGTAAATGAACCTTTGTGAAATAACCTAAACCACAGTGTGTGTGAACATTTGTCAAACTAAACCACCTGCCCTCTGATTGGACAGTTTGACTCTGCTTCTGTTCACAAAGCTCTTCATCTTTCACAGTGTGTGTGTGTGTGTGTGTAAGCTCACCACTGATCTCGCCTGTTCATAATCTCTTTTCTCCACGTGAAGAAATCTGATTTATTTCACAGGTTCCCACAGACTGTGGAATCTTTAGTAACATCCCATTACAGACTCAGAACCTTTTTGACCCTGACATGAGCCCATAAATGACTATGGTGAGGAGTTAATGGATTCAACAGATGTGTGAACTCTGTGAAACAGCACCACTTGCAGGTCGACATCAGCAGGTGATTCTGAGTTCACATCTGTGTGTTGATTCTGGGAAGGAACGTGACCTCAGGTGACCTCTCTGCTAGTTGTGTTTGGCAGGAAGATAATCCAGCTCATCGCTCTCCTCTGGTCCTCTGGACTCCGCAGAGCTCTGCCCTCCGTCTAATGACACACGATGACATCATACACTGAGCCAGAACTAAATATGACCATGAAGAGATACAACCAACAAGATGAGACCAGACAAGATGAGATGAGAAATCAGATTTGAGGCATGAGATGAGGTGGAGTGAGATGGAGACATGAGAGGAGACAAGAAGTAATGACATGATGAATAAAATGAGCTCACATAACATGAGATGGATAAGATTAAATGAGATACTGTATATCTCTATATAAAACTCTATAACCTCTTAGTGCTGCATTGACACCATTGATCACAGGATCTTATTACAGAGACTAGAACATGTCATTGGCATTAAAGGAACCAGACTGGTTAAAGTCAGACTTGTTAAACAGATTCCAGTTTGTTCATGTTAACAATGACTCTTTTCCACAAGGTTCTGATCATTTTCACATTCGCATGACCTCCGGTGGTACAGTCAGAAACCTTGGGGTCATTGTTGACCAGGACATGTCCTTTACTTCAAACATAAAACAAGTCTCTAGGACAGCCTTCTTCCACCTGACCATTATTGTGAAAATCAGAAACACCCTATCTCTAAAGGAAGCTGAAAAACTAGTCTAGACTGGACTACTGCAATTCTTTACTATCAGCTCTCTAAATGCTGACCCACTGTGGTTCCTAGACTTACTCTCCACAATAATTGAAGGTCTGAACCTGACTCTGTGAAGGGCCTTCACAATATGTCTGAGGATGTGGATCCGTAGAAATAAAGGTGAATTCAACTGAATGACTGAAACACTGATGAGAGATGAGAATAAATGAGATGAGACAGAACGAGATGTGAGATACAACACGGGGTCAGTGGATGACTGGAGTCTGTGCTGAGCTGATGAAGTGAGACATAAAATGAGGAGTGTGATGAAGGAAAACAAAGATGAAGAGAGGAAACGAGATGAACAAACATCTGATATCTGGATGAAATGAGATGAAAACTGATGATGACAGGACAAGATAAACTGAGATGAAGACTAAATATGAGATGATAAAACAGAGAAACAAGATTAGTTACATATATTAATATATGTATTTCAGATAAACTGAGATAAACGTGAGTGTTTGACGTACAGAGGTCGTGTGATGACAGCAGCTCTGGAGTCTTGATCCGTCCCTCCTCGTACAGAGTCTTCTTCTCCAGGAAACGCTGTTTACTTGGATTAATGTGGACTGCACAAAGACAGGAAATCACATCCACTGGTTTTTAACTTTTACTCTTCATACTGGTCACTTATTGGATTAACTAAATACTGATTGTTGCAGTAGGAGAATTCAGTGATCCAGGTCCCGAGTGAACCTGGTCTGGTCTACAGAGCACGGCCATGTTTGATGTTCGCCTATGACTCTTTTGTTTAAACTAACTAACTCCTGATGGTCTGTGGAGCTGTGAACCTACCTGCAGGCCCCAGGGACGATGACTGCAGGGACCCCACGGGAGAGAGGCATTCTGAGACACTGTAGAGACCTGCTGTGGCCCCTGCTGTGGTGTCTGGTCCTGTGAGGGCCCTGGCCCTTGGTCTGTTACTGGAGCTGGGCTGAGGAGGAAAGTTGTACTGGTCCTCAGTGGGGACAGAAGGCTTGCTGAACTGGGACTCTGTGGGCCCAGTTGGACAGGGATCTCTGGTGGATGCGGACAGAGCCTTAGAGCTGGTCCCATTTGAGCTTGACTGGGAGCGAAGGTGGTACTGGGAGAAACCTCGACTCTCATCAGTTTCACATGGGCCCGCGAATGAGGAGGAGGAGTGGAGGGGGTGGGGAAGGGTGAGGGCACAGGAGGAAGACGAAGAGGACTGGTAGGTGTACTCGAGTGGTCCCAGTTTAGACATCTGGTTGGACAGAGCTCCCACACTGGAGTCCAGGGAGCTGGGGGGTCGAGGGAAGGACTGGGAAGGGGGATGAAGATGAGGGGGAGGAGGGTGATGGAGGGGGGAGGAGGAGCTGGTCATCCTCACCATGTTGTGGATGTCCAGAAGTTTTTCAAACACCTGAGTGGAAAACATAAAACACACAGGTGAGGAAGAGAGGAAGACCCAAACAGGAGCCATGAGGAACACCACAGTCCGAGTGAGTGAGTGAGTAAGTAAGTGAGTGAGTGAGTGAGTGAGTGAGTGAGTGAGTGAGTGAGTGAGTGAGTGAGACGATGGTGACTACAAGTGACAGTATTAACAAAAATAATAATGGAACATGAGATTTCACTTTGACTGAATCACTGATTTCTGCCTGCAGCCTCAGAGTGGGCTGCAGCCTGAGGACCCGGGCAGACACAGAGTTTCATATGATGAAGGTACAAATGTAAAGTCTGTCCTATGGGCGGCGCTAGAGCAGCTACTCAGACTCAGCACAGACAGATGAAGGTCTGCACACAGAAACACTTTAAACCAAGCAGCACTGTCTCTGACCTCGGTCATGACCGGTCTCTTCTTCCTCTTCTTGTCCAAACAGCTGCAGGCTAGAGCCACCATCTTCATACAGCCAGCAGGCTCTGCAGCGCCCCCTGAAGACACAGCAGTTATACAGCAGCAGCTGCAGACAACAGGCAGGAGACACCTCACACGTGATGAAAACACAAAAACACTGACCTTTAATCAGCCGGTGGTCCAGCTGTTTCTTCCAGGATGCTTCAGATGAACCAGTCGGACTGTCCGCAACCTCCTCCACCAGGTCCTTCTGCACCACCACAACCACAACCACAACCACAACCACAACCACAAGCAGAACTACATTTGAGTCAAACATTTGCACAGGAACATTTGAATATGAATATTTCAATATTGGACCCTGGTGGACCTGATGATACCAGTCACATTGTATCTGCACCTGGTAACAGGTAAACCATAAACGTGTGTGTATGTGTGTTCTGACCAGGTATCTCTCTCCTGACTTCCTGTCTTTCTCCAGAGCTCGACGACCAGTCAGCACCTCCAACAACACCTGAAACACACACACACACACACACACACACACACACACACACACACACACACACACACACACACACTTCATCAGTGGTTTCAGTCTCATCGTTGGTGCATTGCTATCTTGAGACAATAGAAAGTGTTCGCACAATTAACCAGCAAAGACCTGTTCTTAAGTCAGTGATGCAGAATTTCACTGTTATTTTTAGGAGCGTTATCAAGAGAGTAATATGTGCCACTCATACACTCATGCTGTTACGCTCAAGCAGAGTGAGCTGAAAATGTTTTTAGTTGTTGGGATTAGTCAGGTACAACATTAGAATACAGCCTCAGAAGGTCAAAGCTTCTTTGTCACATGTTGTGTGTTGTACAACGTCTCTTTCACAAGGCTCTGCAGAGTGTTCTTTCTTACTACCTGGTAAATCCGCCACAGTTTTTCCCATTCATCACCTAAATTTGTCCACCACAGTTTCATAATGAACCGAAGATTTATTCACACTTCTCATCATATAAAATATTTCTAATGTTGTGATTTGTGCTGTTACTTCTCTGTAGAGCTGTGCGCAGCGCAGTGATTCACTCAGACCGTCTTTGCCCCTCAGTGCACACAGAGCTGTCGCTGCCTGTGGCAGGATTGCGCTCACTGGTCAGTCACAACATGTAATCAACTGACTGCAAACAGAATCTAACTCTGTGTGAAACACTGCATTGTTATAATAGCAATCCACCAAGGTGCAAGCGCTTCAATGAATAATTGAGAGATTTAGTAAAACCCTTTTTGAACCATGCGCCTGGATCAGTGATATGTTGATATGGAGAAAACAGCTGATGGAGTAAACAGCTGATAAATAAGCCTGACAGTTATCTCTGTACAGTTCACTTTTCAGTTTTCTTTTCAGACCTGACCATCAGCTGACTCCCATCTATAGATCACAGGTCTTTCGTAAACTAACTACACTTCCCTTCAGCCCCTGCGGTGTCTCACCACTCCAAAGCTGTAGACGTCCACAGCGGTGCCCAGCTCTTTGTTCCTCACGTACTCATCAGGCAGGTATGCTAGCGTTCCTCTTACTGTCTCCGTCTTACCGACAGATGCGGTCTGAGCTGCCGAGCGTCCAGATGAGCCGCGAGACGCACACCGAGCCAAACCAAAGTCCGCCAGCTTCGCCACCAGGTGACGGTCCAACAGGATGTTTGAACTGAGGGCACAGACACAGAGCATTCAGGTGTTGCTGCAGACAGGTGTCATCAGAAGAGTTACAGAGGTATGTTAACTATAGCAGCAGTTACAGTCTAGAGTCAGAGCAGCTGCCAGGTCACTGGTCTCTCTGAGTCACAGGTAAAACACCTGTGAAGACAACAGCTCTGTTTACAAAATAGACATTCTGAACCAATCCGCGTCACATAGCTCAGTGTGATGTCATGAAGTGTGATGTCATGTGTTGTGGTGTGATGTCATGTGATGTCATATGTCATGTGATTAAGTGTGATGTCATATGATGTGGTGTGATGTTATGTGATGCGGTGTGATGTCACGTTCACCTCTTGACGTCTCCGTGGATGAGTGGTGGGTGTCTGCCTGGGGGTGTGTGGAGGAACTGCAGAGCCTTTGACACGTCTTCAACAACATTTACTCTCCGAGACCAGGAGAAGAGCACACACTCCTGACAACACACACGCACACACACAGACAAATATTAATATAAACAGATATTACATCACATCAGAATGTGTGGTGTTGTATGTCTTTGTCTTTCTGCGTGTTTGTCTCTCTCTGTTGTTGTTTATACAGTTTACAATTTTCTCTCTTTTTCTTTGAAGCAAACAATCAAACAAAAAAACAAACAAACAAACAATAAACCAAACAAACAAACAAGCCTGGAGGAGCAGTAATCAGTAGTGTGTGCATTGTGTGTGTGTTTCGTTGTGTGTATATTACATTTTGTGTGTGTGTGTTGTGTGTGTGTTACGTTTTGCAGCTGGTCCTCCAGTGATCTGTTGTCCATGTAGCTGTAGATCAAACACACTGACCCCCCTCCCTCACTGAAGCCCAGCAGGTCCACAATGTTGGGGTGTCTGAACCTGAAGGAGAAGCAGACGAGCTCCGATCATTAAAGCTGAGATAATGAGCTGTGACAGCTTCCTCTGTTTTTACAGTTCAGTGTTCAAAGGTCAAACATTAGTGATTCACTTACTTTGACAGTTTCTCTACTTCAGTCTGGAAACTCTCCTTCAGCAGAGTCCAGTCCATCAGACAGTCCTACAACAACATAACAACATCAGCAACAACATCAACAACACAACAATGACATCAGCAACATCAACACAAAAAAAAAGAAAAAAAAAGACATCAGCAGCAACAACAAAACATCAACAGCAACATCAATAACAACAAAAACAAAATCAACAACAACACAAAACATCAACAACAACAATAACAACAACAACAATAACCACAACATCAACAACAAGTAAAGCTAACCTGCTCGCTGGCAGGTTTCAGACCCTGAGTTTGTCTGTCTCCGCCCCTCCTGCTGCAATAACTGTGTGGGGGCGTGTCCCTCCATCAGAGGTAACAGAGGGAGTGTGGCATGTCCCTAACTGAAGGAGTGTGGGCATGTCCCTAACTGAAGGAGTGTGGGCGTGTCCCTAACTGAAGGAGTGTGGGCGTGTCCCTAACTGAAGGAGTGTGGGCGTGTTCCTAACTGAAGGAGTGTGGGCGTGTCCCTCCAGAGGTAACTGGAGGATTGTGGGCGTGTCCCTCAATCACAGGTAACTGAAGGAGTGTGGGCGTGTCCCTCAATCACAGAGGTAACTGAAGGAGAGGGGGTGTGTCCCTAACTGAGGGAGTGTGGGCGTGTCCCTCCAGAGGTAACTGAGGGACTGGGGACGTAACCCTCTATCACAGAAGTAAATACAGACTGTGCTGACAGAACCTGAGCTCACATTAAAATCTGTTATATCTACAGGGATCACACCTGGACACACCAGCAACACCTTAATAATAATAAACTGTTGACAGCAGTAAATCAGAGATATCATAAACCAGTGTCTGACAGGACGAAGAGACCACATAACCCCTCACTGTTCTGGAAGCCGCTCATTAATGAGTATTGACACGGATTCTGGTCATGTGGGTCAGATTGGTGCGTCTGAACCTTACACCCTACATACAGGTGTAACACCCTGACATTTATCACCCTGTGAACCTCCAGATTCATCTCAGGATAGCGTTGGAGGCTCCGTCCCTCAGACTGCACCTTGTCAAAGTGAGTCACGTGCGATCTGTGTTGTGATTGGCTGACCTGTTTTAGTCTCTTGACGGCACAGTCGGTGTTTTTCAGAGTCGCTCTGTACACGACTCCAAACCCCCCCTCTCCCACCTGCAGGGAGGGGGAGAACCCGTGTGTCCCAGCATGCACCTCTTCATACGACCAGCACATCACCCCGCCTGTCGCCACCTGGGAGGGCTGAGGGATGACATTATCATCATTATAATTATTATTAGCATCATGTTGTGTGTGTGTGTGAGACAGGTTTAGGTTAGGGGTTAGTAACCAAAGCCGTGTTTCTATCGCAGGAACTTTCCCCAGGAACCACGAACCTCTTGAGGAACTATGCGCGTTTCCACCACAGGAACCAGGGTCTAAATTTAGTTCCAGGGTAATTGATCAAACCCCAAAAAAGGTACCTGGTCGAGGGGTAGTGCCTTCCAAAGGTTCAGGAACTTTGGGGGTGTGGTCTGCAGTGCTGAACATTTCTGATTGGTTGAGTACTTGCTGCATTTTATTTCACCCACGATGTTTAAAAGTCCGCAGTGAGTGAGTGAGCGAGCGAGTGAGCACTGAGCGAGCAAACACATTTTCCACACCGCAAAATGGGTCAGGGAGACGATAATAAAAACTGAAACAGGACTTCAAAAAAATAAAGGACCACAACAACCGGAGTGGCTAGGGTTGCCAACCATAACGTATAATACGGGATCGTCACATATTTGAAAATAAAATGCTGTGTCCTGTAGGCTATTGAATATATACGGGACGCAATTTGTCCCGAATTTTGTTTCATGTTATGTCCTCAAAGTGCTGTGAATAATGTAATGCCAAGTAATAATTTTGCATAATCTTCCTGGGACTTTAGGCTGCAGTGGAAACGCAGACAACAATGGGCCACAGCAACCTTTTAGTTCCTGAAGAAAAGTACCTGGAAGTTCGAAACGTGGCTCAAATGTGTTTGTGTGTGTGAGACCTGGGGGGGTTGGTGGAGGCCAGACTGCAGACTGGAGGGGGGTGGAGCAGGTCTGGGTAGAGGTTTTCCTCTTCCTGTATCTACTGAATAAAAGAACAAGTCACACACCTGACGTCAGTGCAGTGAACGTAACACGTAGCAGGTGAACATCAGTCTTTAGTTAATGAGGGTCTCTTAAATCCAGTCCAGACCTCCTCTTGAGAGAGAGAGACCACTGTAGGACACTGTAGGACACTGTAGGACAGTGAAACACACTGACACACACCCTAACTGCTGCACTGCTGATCCTAAAAACAAACAACTGTGTGTGTGTGTGTTACCTTTTGTGGTCAGTTTACAGGTGCTCAATGTGGGCGGGGCCTCGGAGGATTTGGGAGGGGGGTCGAACTGAGGGAGAGAGACGTGAGGACGATGAGCAATAGGAGCAGGTGGAGGAGGAGGAGGAGGGAGAGAGGAGAAAGGCATCATACTGGTCATCCCTGCAAACAGAGAGGAGTTTTATTAAGTCCTGACTCAGAAGTCACCAGAGGTCTAAGGTCAGAGGTCATCAGAGGTGAACTCACAGCCCAGGATGACATCACGGGGGCGGAACAGCTGTAGACGCTCCAATAGGTCAATCAGCTCCCCGACTCGACCGTTCCTGTTCTCCCACTGGTTCATCACCCAGTCGGTCCGCCTCTCCCTCCTCTCAGCCAATCGCACAGTGTTCTGATCGTGGAGGACCTCCGAGGCTACAGGGGGGGGGGGGGCAGAGTTATTGACCAGCTGATCAATAATTTCACTCCGACTCCCTTTATCTCAGACTGTATCTGTAACACAATCACACATCACCTGACGCTGCCTTCAAGTCACATCAGAGTTACTGGAATTATGAGAGTCTGACCTGTGAACAGTTGAACAGTCCAGGGCTGCGCTCTTTTTTGCTTAGGAAGGTTTCTAGCTGAGTGAAATGACCAAGAAGTGTCTAAGCAGCAGCAATGATAAGAGCTGGTTGAATTCTCTAAATGATAAGGAAAGGAGTGATACACCATGGAAGTTTCACCTCAGCAGACACATGTAAATGTAGAAACAACATAGCACCTGTTTTATGTTTATGACACAAATCAAAACTCGGATTGGATTGGAAATCCTTGTCTGATCATCTGAACCCCAAATCCATCTGTCCAGTTAGGGGTCATCATGAAGAACAAGCATATTGAATTTATAGTGAACAATATCATCATCGTAACAAAATACTATAGCCAATACACAAATGTTGTTTTACAAAGTCCCCTCCCACTGTGGAATGCACTAAAAATGAATTTTCTCTACTTAACAATTATGTAGAAATGTCAAAAGCACCTATGCCAGGAAACTACAACATTTATGTCTGAATATAATTTATTCTGATCCCTTGCACAGTTTCTTATTTCTATTTAATTATTACTTTAATGGCTCAACTTTCTCTCTTTGTATTTTTCTTTCACATTATTTCATCAATTCAATCCTGTTTGCATTGTTTTTTGGTTAGGGAAAGGAGTATTGCCCAAGTATTATAAATAAAGTTAGTTTAAAGAAAAGTTTAGTGTAAGTGCAGTTGGATTCCCTGCACCACGATTGTCTTTTCCTAAGTCCTTATAAATTCTCCTTCACATCTTTCCTTGACCTCATGACATTTTACATCGAGGTTAAGAGAGAGACAGACAGAGAGAGAGAGAAAGAGAGAGAAACAGACAGAGCGAGAGAGACAGGCAGAGAGAGACAGAGGCAGAGAGAGAGAGACACAGAGACAGGCATAGAGAGAAACAGGCAGGGGGGGGCAGAGACAGGCAGAGAGAGAGACAGGCAGAGAGAGAGAGGCAGAGAGAGAGAGAGAGGCAGAGAGAGACAGAGACAGGCACAGAGAGAGAGACAGGCAGAGAGAGAGAGAGGCAGAGAGACAGAGACAGGCAGAGAGAGAGAGAGAGGCAGACAGAGACAGGCAGAGAGAGAGAGGCAGAGAGACGGACAGAGAGAGAGAGATGGTCTAACAGACAGACAGGGGAACAGACAAACAGACAGACAGGTAGGTGAATGGTAAATGGACTGCACATATATATAGCGCCTTTCTAGTTTTATCGAGAACTGAAGCGCTTTACAATGGAAGCAACATTCACCCATTCACACACGGTCATACAGCGCATACTTCTACACATGTAGCGCTTCTATCATTCACATACACTCATACACTGATGGGACAGCCATCACAGGCAATTTGGGGTAAAGTATCTTGCCACAGGACACTTCAACACGCGGACTGGCGGAGCCTGCCACCTCCTGAGCCACAGGTAAACAAACAAACAGACAGACAGACAGACAGACAGACAGGCAGGCAGGTAAACAGATCTGTCTGTCCCCTCCAGCTCCTAGTTAGCCATTAGCAGGCAGCCTGAGTCCTAGTTCTGACTCACCGAAGCGGGTCCAGTCCAGGTCTGACAGTCCATCCATGACCCGGCAAAACTCCCAATGGACGGATGACGGCAGGTTGTAGAGGAAGCGTCCCCTCAGGTCTCCCCCCGACATCTCTGAACTTCTTCAAACTAAACTCTGACTAAATTCTCAAGCTAACAGGCTAACAGCTAACACCGCGCGGCCGCGAGGGGGCGTTCACAGCGGTACCCGGAGCAGTCTGTCACATCAGACCAGTCTGAGACAAACCCGATAAAGACCCTACTGAAAGCCTATTCAGTCCATGGACCGAGCACCGGTCTCACACACCGGGTTCAGCCTCACGGGTTCAACTGCTTCCGCCTGTCGACCGGCTCACTGCAATAAGAGCCGCTTCCGATGTGGTCCTCAAAAGTAAAAGCCCGAGAATTTTTTCCTGTGTGTATTACAGATGCTATGGTGTTCAGACATGTTTGAGTTAAAACCTGAGTAAAAGTTACTCTCAGTAAATCTTTGTTATTTTACTTTGTACGTTTTCAACCGTTATGGTTCATACAGATGCTCCAGTTGCAGATCCACACTGAACAGAGACACTGAGCAGGGAGTAAAGACACAGAGGGGAACACTGACACACAAGAGTGGCAAGCAACAGGTTCAACACATCAGGGCGAGGCTCACCACAGAGTAACACAAGGACAGGAAGTAAAACAACCAAATACACAACAGGGAAGTGATTACAAAATAACACAGGAAGTACAAAGTCCACATGAATCATAAGAGGGCAGAGCATGACATCACCAGTGTTGTTAGGTCATAATGAGTCAGTTTAGTCAAAACCTCTGTGATCAGCTGATGAAAGTTCTCTGTTGTGACAAGTGACAGAGACAGTATGTGAACCATTACATGTGAAGCTGATCAGAGTATGAAAGGTTCCCTCATATAAATCTGTTCCCTCATATGTTTGTTTCTCTGTTCTCTCTTCTGTTGATTCTTCATGTCTTCACTGCACCGTGCCTGTTGTGTTGTTGTTGTACTCTGTTTGTGTAGAGTTGTTTGGCTGTGATCTGATCCTGGTCCTGATCTGATCTCGGTCCTGATCTGAGCGGACCCCCCTTGCTGGTTAAGGTTTGTTAAGGCTAGTTAAGACTGGTTAAGCTAGTTGGTGTAATCTCTATTCTGGTGCTTCTCAGTAATATAGACCAAGCAATGCACAGCTTTAGAGCAGCTAAAGTTCAGGTCACTGCCTCTGTGGGGACTTTACATTACTTCCTGTGATGTGACATCACACCCCAACACACACACACACACACACACGCAACTTCCTTTTGCCAAACTTTGTTGGGGGAATTCCTGAATGAACCATTAGTTCAGTGTGTGTGTGTGTGTGTGTGTGTGTGTATGTGTGTGTGTGTGTGTATGTTCCTTAAAGTCTGTAGGCCTAGTTTGAGTTTTGGTCAGTTCTCTCTGGGCCAAACCCTCAGATGTCTGTTTGCATGTTGAGACCTGGGGCCAGTTGCACAAAACACCTTAAGTTAAGATTTTCCTTAAAGTCTGAGTTAAGCTTTTATCTTTATCTTAGTCTAATAATTAAGGAATCACTTAAAGTCAATTAAACTGTTGAACAAAAGACCTTAGCAACCAAAGTATGGAAAAAAACTATAAGTACCCGATTCTATCTTAACCTGCAACATAACTGAGTTTATGGTGATAAATGAAGAAAATTAACCTTAACCTTAAGTGTCATACTTAAGTAGAAAACTTAAGATGTTTTATGTAACCTGACCCTGGTTTTGAGGTTCAGGTTGGACCAGACTCAGTTGTGGCTCTGTAGTCCTGTGGTAATGGCAGAATAAAGGGCATGTCCTCTGTGATGGACAGTGATGTATCTTCACCAGAAAATTAAGTGTAAACACAAGTAAAACAAAATCAAGTTTTTATATATATAGTAAGCTGTGAGCAGTGTCCACAGGTTTCAGCTCGTTTGCCCCAATCCTCGGATACGACTTGCACGAGCATACCAGCGGATCTTTGTTGTCATGGTGTCAGTAATAACCCAGTAAGGACAAGGATAAACACGTGGTTGGGGAGTGGCACAGAAACATTGGTGAGGTAAGAAAATATTTTGATTTGTGTTAAAATAAGTATCCTACATCCTTAGATTAGACAACCTTCGGCATGGTTACACTAAGAAACACGCAGTTAAGATCATGGCTACATTAAACAACATTTCCAATTGGACCCACACAGGAAACGATGCAGTCTCCTGGGTGTTGTCGGTCACAACAGCGTCCTCCTGACTTTCTCATTCCCCTGTCATTCACTGCGGCCACTAGAGGGCGCCCCACAATTCAACATCACTGTGAGTTGATATTTCTACATGAGAATCGCTGGCTGCTGCAGTTAACAGCTGAGTGAACTGTAATAACTGAGACACTCATATAAATGGATCTACACTTTTGTCAGCCCAGCTCATCTGTAAATGTGATGAGTGGAGGATTGTGGGAAACACAGTCCACGTGCAGCCCCTAGAGTTGTGGAGCTAATCAGCCACACATACATGTGTCTTTATATACAAGGTTGATAAATCATAGATGATACTGATGGAGCCTTTTGCCCCCTGCTATTGCAACGCCGCACTGCAACTGATCACATTGATTATTAATATTATAATAATCTAAATGCTCAATCTATTTTATATTATAATATATAACAATAAAAATATAGTACTTATATAGTATTTTTGTTATGTTACATTTATATTACACATACACTAATACACACATGCACATTATAAATATTTTATGTATTTTATCAATGTAATGATCTTTATTTTTCATGTTTGTCACGTTACTGCAGTATTTTACTTTATGCTGTATTACATGTCTCACTGTCCCACTTTACTCAGGCATAAGGGAGCTGCATTTTTGTTTGTTTTTTTCAAAGATTATATTATTACACATAAAACACATTTATGTACACATTTGTTGCAGTGAATTTTCTAATTTTAATTTATAGTTTGTTAAGTTTTCCTTTACTCACCTCCTGTGGCTTTGTAAATGTTGTTGTATTTATGTTGCTGCTGAATAAAAAAGAGTCAGATTCTACTTTTCTCTACTTCTAACTTTTTCTTGCTGCATTTAATTAATACTTAACTTTAAGTAGTATAATCAATAAATAATATATAAACGTGATCTCCATTGATGAATTACTGAGGGGTCTGGGGGCCCTGGTCCAGAGCCTCTGGGAGGAAGTAACTGTTGATAATTATTATTTGAACGCCACAGAGATTCAGTTTAACAACCACAAATAGACTTTCAGTCTGGGGCAGTCCTGTGTAGGAGGGGTGGGGGCCTTTTATTGTCTATGTCCAGGGGCCAGCTATTTCATGATCCACTCCATGATAAGCAGAAGAAAACTGATTGATGGATTAACCAATGAAAAGATGTTTTTGTCCACTGTGAGTGGACGAGCTTCCTAACAAACGTCTGACAGTAAAATTTATAACTACAGGACAGAAAACACATTCAGGATCTTTGTAAATGAAAATTAAGACTTTGTAAATCTTTCTCAGGAGTTTTTTAATGTCTTATTTATACATTTATATATTTATTTATTTTAAGGGATTTGGACTTAAGATTTTCTCTGCAGGCTATGTTTATTTCTGAGCCGACCCTGAACGCCTCAGTCTGACCGTTTCAGGCCGTCACATCTCGCGGGATTACACCGCCCCTGCTCTGCGTTGACATCATGTTTGCGCAGATCTCGCGGTGTTTGGTGACTGACGGCGGTTGGAAATGGAGTCGGAGGGGGCGGGGTGCAGCAGGAGGGAGCAGAGATGTTTGGAGGCTTTTTTTTAATATAAAATTATTTATTTAAATAAAAATGGCCGCCGTGGAGAGCGGAGAGGAGAGACTGTAAGTGGGTTTTTTACATTTTATCCTCCGTTAAAGCGCCGCCTTCGCCTTCGCCGCCTCCCGCCGCCACCGAGCTTTTTCTGTCGTGTGTTTTATTGAAGTAAAGTGCGTTGGTTTTCTCCGCGGCCTGTCGCGGCGGAGCGGGGTTAGCGGGAATACGTCACCAACTTACTGCTAAGTCTGTACTTATGCTGCTGTAGCCGGAGCGGAGGTTAGCTTTAGCTTAGCCCGCTTTACGTGCGCCACCGTGCCGCTTTGACTTCCACACAACTCCGCGGGAAGTCCGGCCGGGGTCGGCAGTGGTGTGTCCGTCACAAACATCACAGTCCCGGTCACTGGTGGTGTGTCCGCCCGCCGCTGTCAGAAAGGCAGGGAGCTAACGGCTGGTAGCTAGTTAGCAAACACAGAGTGTTTTCATGTGAGGGGAACAAACAAGAGTCAGGCTGCTCAGTAACCCGGGTTAACCCCCCCACATCCACACACACACATACACACACACACACATACACACACACACACACACAGAGCGGCCCGCGCCCCCAGCCCCTGTCCGCGGGCTGAGATATGTTATTATGACTGATTAGCAACCAGCTGCCTCAGTGCCGCTGAGCCAGGCAGCTGTGTGTGTGTTAGTGTGTGTGTGCGCGCGCGCGTTTGTGTATGTGCGCGCGTGTGTGGGGGTGGGGGTGGGGTGGGGTGGGGGCTTCAGGCGGGAGTCGAACCCGTGACTGTGTGTGTACAAGACGCTCTGTGTGTGTGGCCCAGTTTCCTCCGTAGCTCACTTCCTGTTCCTGTGGCTTTTGCTTCACCTCCACCTGCAGCTTCATCGCACACTTACATACACACACAAACAGCCTCGGAGACTGAGTCTGAGGGTGGAGGTCTGTGGAGGTGACAGTAGAAAGTGACTCTAGTTGAAGCTGCAGCTTTTTGTTTTATTAAATAAAGTAACTGAGTCAGTCACTGATCTGAAGTACAGCCGTGAGGTACTTGTACTTCACTGTATTGTTTCACTGTGGAATGCCTCTGTTTTACTTCACTGTAGTACTTCACTGTAGTATTTCACAGTAGTACTTCACATCAGTATTCCACTGTAGTACTTCACTGTAGTACTTCACTGTAGTATTTCCTGCTCTGTGTTCACTTCAATGACCAGTGCGAGTTATTGTTACATACAGCTGGAAATGCAGAGAAAAACATGACATGAATAAAGATGAATTAATGCACATGGAGGTGGTTTCATCACCACAGTGAGGTTAACAGACTGATTTCAGACCAGGACCTGGTGTGTGCAGGTCTCCTGAGGTGAGATTTCAGACTCTGAATCAGTGCGTCTCAGTTCACTTCAGACCAGGACCAAGTGACAAACAAACGTAAAAAAAAAAACCTTTTTATCAAATGTCTTCTGTCCTAATAAAATCTGGCAGCTCTGAGTCCAGATCAGGAGAAGTTAAAACCAGCAGAGACCAGACCGTGTGGACGGTGCAGAAATAAGAGACCGAGATGCTTAGGATACTCCTCTGCACATGGACACCTGGATACTGTTTAGGTCATGTGAACAAGATCAGTACCATCATCATGGTCTATGTGAACCTCAAATTCTGAATCTGATTCAAACCAGAACACTAATGTGCATGTAAACACACTTAGTAATGGATCAGCAGCTGGCTCCGCCTGTCAGCTCCATCCATCAACCCTGCCTACCAAATTTACATAAGGAGACCTGATCTCAGTACAGCAGAGAGGAGCTCATAAGAAATGTTTATCAACACCATGTTAATCAGTAATGACAGAGTGAATGGCTGAGTGAATGATAGAGTGAATAAGACTGTAATCACTTCATCATAAAGGGTTTATGATCTTGACATCAGCAGACCTCCAAGAGAAACATGTTTTTATACCCTATCACTTAAGTCCAGGGTCACAGTGAGGGTTGAGGTCACTGAGGTGTTTTCTTTACCTGAGGCAGCGTTCACTTGAGGAGGTGTTCACCTGAGGAGGTGTTAATGTGTCTGTCACAGATCAGTTTCATTGGTCTCTTCTCTGGTATAAAAACATTTAATTAAAATGAGATTGAGGCAGTTGTTATTTTATTATTTTATTATTCCCATCAGAAAGATGCACCTGTGTAACGGTCACACCTGTATTCAATGAGCCAGCTCCATTCACTGAAGGAAAAGTGTGACATGTGGGTGAAATTTCTGAAAACTAGTAAGAGGACCTTTGGTGTGTATATTGAACTTCTGTTATCTAGTCCAACATTTCTGGGGGAGGGGTCTTGTGCTGTACTCGTGAGGTCTGTAGACCTCATCGTGTTCAGGTTGGAGAGCAACACACCTTTGCTGCAGGTTCTTCTGGATCAGTGTGTGCATGTGTAAACTAGTGCTGACCGATTAATCTTGTTTTCATCGTCATCGCAATATGAACATATGCAATAATCACATCGCAAAAAACGGATTGAAATGCCATGAATTAGAACAAAATATTTTATTTACACACGCCATGCAGTCAGGTTTTCAGGACGCAGCGCTTGAGCCTGAAAAAAACTACCGCGTTTTTGTGTTGGGCTGCAGCGTCTCTCTCTCTCTCTCTCTCTCACACTTCACACCACACACCACACCACACAACCCACACACACACACACACACACACACACACACACACACACACACACACAGAGGCAGCGGTCGAGACCAGTGAGGAGTTAACTTTGTACCAGAGCTGACAATAACTACGGTCGTAGCTCTGTGAGTGTCATCATAAAGTTTGCGAGTAAAAAAGCTATTAGCGTCCTTCATGACACCACCAGTTCGGCAAGATTTAAACGAAGAAAAGCTATATTTTCAACTTCTCCCATCCACCGCGGTTTGTTTTAAGCTAATAGTGAACTGTTTTGAATAAGCTAAAGAGAAAACTTTCTGTGTGTAGACTGCAGCTTCATTTGACACCAACCTTTGTAAACTTATAGCTACAGGTTGAGATTGGCCCCCCCTCAGCCACGTTACCTGCAGTAGAGGGAGGAGGACGGAGGAGATGACCGATAGTGACCTTTGTCTGTGTTCTTCATTCAGCTTCACTCAGCAAAACTGTATATGTACACTTCAATATTTGCTTATTTATCGCAAGTAATATTGTCATCGCAATATTGAACAGTGTCATCGCACATCACAAATTTTCCTCATATTTTTGCAGGCCATGTGTAAACAGAAGCAGGAGGTTCAGGTCTGAAGTTGTAACCACCTCTTATTATCACAAGTAATTTATCAATATTTGTTCAATATATTGACTAACCTTTTCAGCTCTACTACCAGCATCATCAACATGATCATTATGGGGACTTATGTGCCATCTGGGCAGCAGCTTTATGATCCTTTATTTATTTTAAATTTTAAATACAAAATAACCTTAATTAATTTAAATAATTAGATTCATTTAAACAGTCTCTTTACCTTCAAGTGCAGCTCGTTAAATCAGAACATTAAGTGATTATATTTCCGTGTGAAATCGCGGCTCATGTATTCAAGAGTTACCAAACATATCGGAAAAAACATCCACATGAAGCTGGTTTAAATCTGGACATGTTTTTTCCACCTGCACTTAAACAAAACACATGCACCTGCAGATGTTTGTGCTTGACAAACACCTGTTGCAGAACAAATGTGTTTATCCACAGATGAGTGAGTCCATTTGTTTGAAGGCAGAAGTGATGAGTCTCATTTAACCTGACAAGAATAACTATTTAATCTGATATGTTCAATTATAGTGTGACCGAATGGACCCTGCGGGCCCCGGGGCCTGTAGCCCCTATCTGAAGTGACTTGCGTCTTTTTTGAAAGTATATCTTATATTAGTTTTTAGTGACTTTGTGACAAACAGTCTCTGGATAACTGATGTGTTTCCACAGACTTAATCATATGCTCTGTCCCTGTCAGATCAACCAATAAATCATTAGCTGGTAAACTCAGCTGGTCACACAAAACGACATCTGACCACATCACACTGGAAACCTTTATTATCTAAAGACATTAGTTAATGTGGAGAATTAATAATAATTGATGGATTACTAGTTTCTGCCCTGAAGTAAAGTCTCTAAAAAGTGGACACATCAGTGAAAAACATTATAGTGAAACACTGTAAAACTGTTGTTGATCTGAATACAGTGATGAATGTTTGTTGATGAGTGAAATGTAAAAGCATGAAGATCAACAGAGGTCGGACATCAGCTGATAGAGTTGTAAACATCACTTCCTGTTTGCACCTGGATGAGCCGTTCAGACATGTGATGACTGTATAGATCTGGTTTTACAGCCTTCGGTTTGATTCTGTCTCAGACCACAGACCTGAACACTGCTGAGGAAATCCACCACAGGGATCATCAGTCAAAGTCTTCTTAAAGGTTCAGAGGCTGATTTGAGAACTTCCTGTGTGTGTGTGTTCGGGGACACAGCCATCGGCTGTAACTTTAATTCTTCCTTTAGTTGCTTCACAATGAAAGCCTCATTCTGCTTCAATCGCTAAAGCTAAAAGGTAAAAATATTCACCAGTTAGAACAATACTGAAGTGAAGTGACATCTCTTATCACATCTGATCTCAGAACAGTGTTCTGTCCCATAAAGGATCTAATGCCTGTTTGCATTCATCGTGTAATTTACTGCCCTCTTGTGGTGGCAGCAAGATACTGTCTCTGAAGCTAGCTTGACTACAGTTGTAGCTATAGTTTCTGTCATTTTCGTGGGTGTGACCGTGTCGCGTTGACAAAGACAAGGACAGCAGCCTTTCTTGGAGGTTTTCGCATTACGATAATCCTGGATCTTTGACGAGTGACTAGCTATAGCTGAAGTGTGTATCAAACTGTCCCAGGCTCTGTTTCTACCATTCTGAGAACAGTTATGATATTGCAGCATTATTATACAGATGCACAGACGTGTGTGGAAACTAAACTTAGAGACTAAGAGACAGCAGTAGCAAGTAAACAAGCAGGTTACACTAATTTATCATCTCTGTGTGAGATCTGCTGTAAGTTTGAGAAGTTTGAGACAGAATGTTGTTACAAGAATAGAGCAGCTGCTTTTGGGAATAGATCAATACGTAGAGAGAGAGAGACAGCCAGACAGACGCTACCACCCAACCCCCCCCACCCCATTAGAAAGGAGGCCGGACTGACAAATTAAACAAAATACTGTGCCGTTTTAACCATATGATGTCATGAGTGATGTAATGTCAACAGGCTTGATGTCATCTGTTTTCTATAGGGAGGAGGGTCAAGAGGGTGAGGAGGGACCTGTCGACCCTCAGCCCCCCATTAGAGAGAGAGACAGGTCCCACAGTAAGACCAAGAAGGCCCGCAGGGAGCGTCGCCATGCTGAACGGCGGGCTGAGACCACATCATCAGCCATGCCCGCAACAACTGGCCTGCAGCCAAAGACAGGGGTGGAGCCACAGACCCAGGTAAAGACAGGTGTTAGCCAGAGCAGGTGGAGTCCTGAAGGGACTGGGTTTTAACACCTTCCAAACAATATGACGTAATCCTATATGATACAAATATATCCTTGATGAAAAGATGGCTTCATGTTACTTTCTACCTGCAGGTGTTGGATCCGGTGGCGGGCCCCTCAGAGCCGGTGTCAGCACCAGGGTCAGAATCTGCAGCTGGGAGTGAGTCTGCAGGTTCTCCAAGGCAGCGGCGCTCCATCATCCGGGACCGCGGGCCGCTGTACGATGACCCATCACTGCCTGAAGGTTGGACTCGCAAACTCAAACAGAGGAAGTCCGGACGCTCTGCGGGGAAGTTTGATGTCTACCTGATCAAGTAATCTACACCCACTCATGATGCTGAGTCAGTTCTTCATGATGAGATGGAGTATTCGCACAGTTTTAGTAATATTTTTTTTTTTTTTTGTCTTACTATTTAGCTCAGAGGGGAAGGCATTTCGTTCCAAGGTGGAACTTATCGCTTACTTCCAGAAGGTTGGTGACACAACCACTGACCCCAACGATTTTGATTTCACTGTCACTGGACGTGGAAGCCCATCCCGCCGCGAGAAACGTCCCCCCAAAAAACCAAAGGTGGTGAAACCGTCGGGGCGAGGCCGTGGGCGGCCCAAAGGTACTCAGGCCCTGACCCCAAAAGTTAACCTTTAGTCATTTTATTGAACTCAACAGTCATTTCAACCACAACATTTCCTCAGGTTTTTGTGTGTTTATCTTATGTTTTGTTTGTGTAGGCAGTGGAAAGATGCGGCAAGCTACAGAGGGTGTGGCCATGAAGCGCGTGGTTGAGAAAACTCCAGGCAAACTGCTGGTCAAGATGCCCTTCAGCAAGGCAGAGTCCTCCACTGGCACCACCTCCACTGCCTCAAAGGTATGGCTGGTCTGTCATTCAGTGTAAGGATCACAACTATAAACTAACCAGCCAAAACATACTTTTCCCAATTCTTCCATCCGGGGATTTTTGGAGAACTTTGTTTTCAAGCAGAAAAACTAAACCTGATGTGAAAAGATGCGGACCTTTGAAGACTGACCTTTGACATGCTTTTGCATATTTTTTCACATACACCTCAATACTTGATAATATCGAAATATGTTCTAATATCATGTTCTAAGCCCTCCACCTTGTTGCGGTGGAGGGCCTTGTGTTTCCCATCACCATCAGAGCAATCCTTCAGCAGCTCATGGTAGGGCCTTGGTAAAGGCAAATTGGTCCCAGGTGAGCTACACATTCATAAACCCTTATGAACTAGCCAAGACAAGAAAGAGCAACCTTGCCGTGTTGAGCGAGATTGTAGCAGCGTTGCTAACTGATGCCACCTGGTGGTCAGTATATCAGATGGCAGGGGCGGCTACCAGACATACCTGGTTAAGCCAAACTCGTAGTATTGGTGAACTGGGAACATCTCTCTGAGAACCCTCCGTGCAAGGTCTTTAACTTCCACCTTTCTCATGGGCGGATGTGGGTGTGGATTTCATGAGAGTCTTGTACAAAGCATTCAGGTGTCTGCTTAGAGTTGTGGCCTAAAGGTTCATTGATGCCTATTGTGGTGGCAGCAGAAGAACAAGCTAGTGCATACCCCAGACAAAGCATCAGGAAAAGACATTTAGTGGCCTTAAGCTCAAGGAACTCATGAATCAGCAGAAAGGTAGACGGAGGACCGTAGTTACTGTGGTCAGAAATGTAGAAACCTTAGTGGGGAGGCAGTGAGGAAGGACTTTCAGTAGGCCTCAGAAAGGTTCCAGCCATGTCTCAGGAACGAGAGAGAGACTTTGCCCAAGCTTGAGAGAAACTGCTCACCTTGACTGGGGATACCGTTGAGTGACGGATAATCCAGATGTGCTTTGTGTGACGCCTCTCTATCTATCAAAATCTGTTGAAGACTCATCTCTTCAGAGAGCACCACCTCTTCTAACACCCTAACATGTCCAACTAGCTCTTACTATTAACTTTCACTGCACTTCTTTAACTGATCTCCTTCACTTATTAAATAGATGTAGTACTTAGTACCTACACCAAGGTCTCCTACTGCACTGAAGCTTTAGTGATGTCCCTCACAGTAAGTCACTCTGGATGAAAGAGCCTGACAGATGAGTGAATGGAAATGTATGTAAATGTACTTGGAGAGGACGCATGGCTTTGTGTTTGTCTTGTAAAAGGTGCTGTGGACTTTGCCAAGGCTGTGCAGTTATGTTTGTGATTTTCATGGTGAGGATGTCAAAGCACTGTCTAGAGTGGATCCTAACAAACTCAGGTGGAAGTGTGCATTGACATGGCCTTGATGGGGATGCAGAAGGTGTAGTGCCTTAGGGCCTTTCATTATGCAGTGTGTTTTATTATACATTTAAATAGCATTAGTAATGTTGATGGTGATGTGTTAATTTGCCTGCAGGTGGTATCTCCTGCCCTGGTGCCCAAGTCCCGTCCTGGGAGAAAAAGGAAATCAGAACAGGAACTTCCACCCCCACCACAGACTGCCCCCAAGAAACGGGGCAGGAAACCAGCCTCGGCTTCAGCAGCATCATCAGGTGCAACAGCATCCACCTCCGCGGCATCAACCTCTGGTAGCTCAACAGCTGGGAGCTACGCTGCAGCTGCCATCTTAGCTGCTGAGGCCAAAAGGAGAGCAGCCAAGGAGTCTTCCACCAAACCTGTTGTCCAGGAAACAGCTCTGCCAATCAAAAAACGCAAAACGAGAGAAACAGTGGAGGAGCGGGAGAGTGTTCAGACTCCAGCGGCCACGACAACAGAGACTGAAAGGAGGGCTACTACAGAGGGGGAGGGAAGTATAGGGGAGAGGGCTCCAAGCTCAGAGCCTCAGCCCGCCCCCTCTGAGCAGAGCCAGTCACAATCACAGAAGCAGCCCACTGCTTCAGATGAAAGCCAATCACATGGACACAAGACTCATAAAGGGAGGAAGCACAAGGAGAAAATGGGAATAGCAACAGGAGATGGAGGAACCAGAGGAGAGGAAATGGGTGAGGATTCAGGTGACAAGGGAGGAGAGGGAGGAAGGAGTAGCAGCAGCAGCAGTAGCATTAGTCCATCAAAAAGCCACAAAAGGAAGGACAGGCCACCTCACAAACACCACCATCATCACCACCACCACCACCATCATCATCGCCACCAACAGTCCTCTGCCTCCACATTGGATCAGCCTCCTCCTCTTCCTCCTCCTCCTCCTCCAGCCTCTGGACACCCGACACCCTCCAGCCAGTCGAGGCCTGAAATTGAGTCCCAGACCGTGCCTATGATCACCACCCAACAATCGCAGCACAGCCAGCAAGTTCCTTCCAGACCGCAGTCCAAGTCTGTGCCTCAGTCCCTGCCTGAACCTCGGCATCCTGGCCCTCAACCACACCACCAGGCCCAACCCCGTCCTCAACAACATCCCCAGACCCAGTCTCCCAGTCAGCCCCCAGCCCAGCCTCGATACCCAGCACCCCAGTCCTCTCCGACCAGGCATGTCCTGCCCCAGCCACGGCCGCAACAACTCGTGCCCCAAACTCACAGTCAGGTTCAGGCATCCCCCCAAAAAGCCCAGCCACAGCTTGTCCATTCCCCAGCCCAGCACCGAACCCCACTTCAGGCTCAGCATGCTCCACCTCAGTCACACCCTCCTCAGTCCCCATCCATTCTGCATGTTCATCCGCCCCAAACGAGGCATTCACATCCACAAACCCAGTCCCCCACAGCAGTCCAACCTCAAACCCTGCCCAGACACCCGTCTCAACCCCAGAGCCAGCCCAAACAACAATCTCAATCCCAGCCACGGCACACACTGCAGCCTCAGCCCCAACCCCAGACCAGGACGCCAACCCAACTTCAGACTCAATCCCAGTCCAGAACCCCTGCCCAATTGCAGCCTCAAATCCAGCCCAGAACTCCAGCCCAAACGCAGCCTCAACCCCAGTCCAGGACCGCAGCCCAAATGCAGCCTCAACACCAGTCCAGGACCCCAGCCCAAACTCAGCCTCAACACCAGTCCAGAACCCCAGCCCAACCTCAACCTCACCTGCAACCGAGGCATCAAGCGCAGACCCAACTGCAGACGAGGCACCCTACGCAACACCAACTCCAGACTCAATACAGACCGCAACCCAGACAGTCTCTCTCCCAGCCTAGGCCAGCCCAGTCCCAATCCCAGTCCCAAGCACAACCACACTTTCAGCGGATTCAAACACAGATGCGCCCCCAGCCCCACTCTCAGCTAACCAGGCCCCATGTGCAGCACTCATCCCACAGGCCATCTCCCAGCCTAACCAGGACCAACCTGGTCCCTGCTCAGCAGAACCAGAGTGAACAGCCCCAAGATCTGAGCACTCCACGGGCTGGCCGAGGAAGCCTGCCACCAAGCCGAGAGGTGAGCATGGAAGACGTCAGGGTGGAGGGGAGAGGGGAACCGGCCATGACATCAGAAAGCAGAGAGGTTTTAGGAGGAGAAAGAGGGTCAAACAGCACCTCAAGACCTCCCAGCTCCATGCCCACTGGACCTCCTGGAGTAGCCGGGCCCGGGGTTGGTCTTGTCCCTGGGGCAGATGGTAGGGCCAGGCTTCGGGCAGAGCCAGAGGCAGCAGGTGAGGGCAGGGAGCTCAGAGACATCGTCCCCCAGTCCGCCGTCCCATGCCCCAGCCGAGAAGAAACCGTAGAGTCACGGACTGCCGTCAGCGAAAGAGTCAGCTGATTGGGCGGACCGATGAACAGGCTGACTGATCAATAGACTGACGGACTGAGTCAGTACCAGGTGGAAGAGGAGTGTGACTGGGCTGTTCATGGAGGTTTCATGTTTTTACACTGTTTTCAGATAGAAGGATCGTGTCACACAGAGCTGGTAAGGACTGTCGTCTGATTCTGTCTGGAGACTCTGTAAAGTTCTGGATCAGAGAACCAACCTGGACAGCTGGAGAGGAGAACGCATAGTGTCTTTTTATAGGAAAAACTAATGAAAAGGAAAAACCGATAAAAAAGTGTGTGTGTATATATAATCAAAAGGCAGCTGTTGTGTCCCGCTAGTCTCCGTGGGGAGGGGGGAAGTAGTTTGGAACTAAAAACCAACGCTTAACAACACATTACTCTAAACGAAACGTTGCTTCCGGAATATAACCTGTTTTTTTTATTTCGTATTTTGATAGTTTATTGTTTTGTCTCTGTTATACAGCTTTAAACTCTGATATTATTGACTGACGGTCCCTCGCTCATCGCCTTGCTGCTGACTGACAGTCCCTTATTTAAAGTCCTGCTCTTAACTGATTGTCTTTCACTAAAAGTCCTCCTATTGACTGACAGTCCCTTTCTGAAACTAGTCCTTGACTGAAAGCCTCAGAGGTGATGTGGGGCGGCGGTTTGCACCTTAAACTGGTTTCTTAAAAACCTCACATTTGTTTTCCTCCCCATTTTCCATTAAACCCACAATAAACAGGGGTCAGTAACGTTTTCCATCCACTTCCAGAATGCCCCCTACAGGTAGCCAATCTGAAGTACGAGTACATTGAATTTAAGACCCTACTCAGACCTCATTCTGAGCTGAGTCTTTGAAACCCATTGTTATTATCGTTTGAAATATTTGATCAGTTTGAGGAGTTCTTGATTCCTCCTGTCAGACACTGAAACGGAGACATTTGAGTCAGCTGTTTGATGAGAAAACCTCGACCACTCCTCATTTATTTTTCAAGTATTTCAAGTGAATGGTTCTTCCAGTTTAGAGATTCTTCCATACTCTTCTTCATTGAATCTATTAGTCTTTTTGTTTCCAAAGGAAGCGCTTTGAATATCAACCAAACCCACTTTACAGTAGCTTTATGTTAGTTTAATGTGGGAAATGGACTCATTGTTTATTGTTTCTTCGTGTTGAATGTCTGGAACAGTTTGCACTCCTCCAGTTTGTACAATCAACCGCCTGCATGTCGCTCAGAGACCCTGCAGGCCTTCAACCAGAGACGCACATACGCAGAGGTCGACCTTTCAGAGGTTTTACTGTTGGCCATGTTGGTGTTCGGCAGAAGTAAAACCCTGAACGAGGTCTGGTTCAGCTTCATGTGGAGTCAGATGTGTTGGAGACAGCAACAGAAAACGATTCATTGAGCCGAAAACTAACTTTGAGTCTGTAAGTCCAGATCTGAGAGCATGAAGGATAGATTCATGAGCACAGGACAAGTTACGACAACGAGGACAGAACCTGATCCTGATCCCTGAGTGCAGGACTGTGTCCTTCTTCTTAACTGCTCTCACTTTCAAATTCACTTTCAGCAGGAAAATACTGAGCAGGTGTCATTGGAATAAAATACTAGTTAGTGTCACAAAACGTAACATGGTACAACAACTTGGCCACAGTTAGGAGTCACAGTTTCAGAGGTACTGACAGAGTCATGACACCTTATTTCATTTTCTCATGGAGCAGAAAAACAAGAGTCTTCTGCTGTAATGTTACTAAATGATACCACTATAGCTACGATGCAGACATGCTTACAGTAGATTATTTTAGTAACAACGCTGCATCTGCAGCTGATATTTCACCAAGTGAAGACTTTCTGTCTAACATGAGATCAGTTTGTTATTGTACAGCTGTGGAAATTCAGAAACACATGTCAGTAGTGTTGACTGAGTCGACAGTGATTGGCTGCACCCACAGAGGTCAACAGTGATTGGCTGCACCCACAGAGGTCAGAGTGAGTGACCACTGACTGACAGTGCAGCGTCACATCCCTGAGTTTGTTTGTTTTAGTCTGAACCAGTGGATGAGTTGATAAACTTCACTTCAGTTTCTTTTCACACGGAAAAAAATTTAACCAATGTGCATCAGTAAATTCAGGTGAGAATGTTTTCATCTCTCATTGGTCAGATGTGTCTGAGTGACAAAGTAAACACAGGAAGCAGGTCTAGTCTGCCGTAGCGCACTGTTATACTAGTGATTTACTGACATGTATGTCAGAGCCATTGTTCACATGATTGTGTATCTGCGGGATTAAAAAGTCCCTCCACTAGGGGGCAGATTAGGGCCTGGTCATCATCACTGAAAACAGAACATCTTCATTGAGAACTTCTTTGGCTCAACGTAAACAGAAATAAACAAAAACCATGGCAAAACTACATGTTACAGTGTTGTTGAGAAAACGGTCGTGGTGACATTGTATGTGGTTTATCAGACAGACAAACTCTGAGTTTCTCTTCCAAACTTTCTGATGCTACCCCCACTTGTCATGTGTTAAACTTCATTTCATGGAAACGTAGTGTTAATTTCTCAGGATGTGAAAAACCAACGCTCCCAGGGAGTGCAGGACATCCAGGTAGCCCTGATGTCCACACAGACATGTAGTTAGGAGCAAGAATATCATCAGCTTTAATATGAAGAAGCAAATCCAGGTCAGACCTCCATTCATTCTCCTGCTAATGTTAGCTGCTAGCAACTGATGATCTGGTTCATCCTATCATGTAGAGCACAGATGACATTTAGCTTAAACCTGCAGAGTCCACCTTGTAGTGGGGACAGATTGAGGTCAGACAATGTTCCCACCAACTCCAAAATTAATTTGGAACTGAGACCACTTCCTCAAGAGGGTTTTGGTAAGGTTGTCTTGGTCCAAGAATGATTCTTTGTTCTGATCAACTGAAACAAACTAGGAACCAGAGTATGATTCAACTCAACACAACACAACAAAAACAAAACAGCCAGAGAAATTTACTTTAGTTCTTCTTCATCTGCTTCTACTACAAAACCTGCTCAGGTGACTCAAAGGCTCCACCAGGTGGCAAAGACCAGGTAGCACACCCACAAAGAAATAAATAAAATCTAAACACTGCAGATAAAATGAAACTGAAGAATTAAAATAAATTACATTAAAGAATAAACTGTGCTGTAAGGTTATAAACACACACATCACCATGGTTACTGAGTTCATCCATGAGTCAGTTTCCTTCACAGTGTAATCGTCACATTAATATGAAGCTCTGTAATTGGCTTTTTGTTGGTGAAATGCACCCTGGGAGTCGTATTTGACTTCTCCACAGCTTCTGTAACTCTGAGGTTTTATACTCCTGTCTGTGAACACCTGTCTGTTAGCTCCACCTTTCAGAGTCCAACCTGTCCTGCTCGTCTGAATCTGTCTCAGATCTGAACCTGCAGCTCCTGTCTGAATGTTAACTTTAGCACCTTAGTGTCCTCGTGTCTCTGTGGAGACGCCTCTAGCACTTTAGCAATGACGTTGGAAAATTTTGCTTTTCATCCTGAACCGGACAAAACAAAGTGAATGTCTTCATCCTGGATCAAATACATGTGCCTCGTTCTTTAAAGTCCTCGTCTGGTCACCTTGTTACCGTGGTGATGCTGTCCGGATCCACCTGACGCTCCTCCCCTCTGCGTACGTGGCGCTCCACCTGCCGCCCAGTCTGCTCAGAGCAGTGAACCTGTTAGCATGCTGTCTCTCACGCAGCTGCGGAAATCAAACGTCCCTCTGTGAACGAACTCACTCCACAGGACTTGACCCGGCACAAACTACAGTAACCAGCCTCCATATTGCATGTTCCAGAGTTTAGTGCCTATAATATTGTGCGTCTTGCCAGAAGCCACCATGTCAGCCAAGCCATGTTGTGTTTCTAGACTTAGTAGTGATGTGTGTGGTGACTTCATAGTTGCTAATATTGAGGATGAATATTCTGCTTTTACTCTGGTTGGATCAGTGGAAACTCCAATACACTGTCGCTGTAGACAAACTAGTTTTTACCTGTTTTTATTTTTCTTTCTAACTAAAAGCGTTTGTTGTCCCTGATCTGTGGTCGTCTGACTGTTTGCCTCACACATCACAGGGTCAGCAGCAGAACCTGAGTCCCCCACAGGCTGAGTCGAACCACATCTGTGGATCCAGTAATCTGTAGTTGACTCCCCTACACACACACCAGGTTCACCACAATCTGAGATGATTAGCTGATTGATTGATTAGTCGATTGACAGAGTTTTTTCTCACGTGTGAATATTTTCTCTTACACTAAACTCAGCGTCTGAGGTTTAGACATTTTATATTTTATATTATTAAAAATACCTGTCAGATGTATTGATAGACAGAACAACAACCTCACTGAGGTTTTCTGATTTTAATAAAACTCAACTTTACGACAGATGAGCATCAAATCAACAGTTCAGGTCTCAAAACCAGATTCTGACAGGGTCTCTACAACACCAGGACCAGGAGGTGGAGGATGGAGGACCAGTTACAGCTGATAATCTGCTTCAGCCGAGCAAGTTTGTGATTAATTCAATTATCTAGACCCAAATGAGGTGGAGTAAATCTGGGCCCCTGAGGAGACCTCCTCCACTCCAGTGACCTCTGCTGGTTCAGGTTCAGTTCATTTGTGGTTTCACTGACATATGGAAAAGTAAAATTTGTAAGGCCAGACCCCAGAAGCAGAGTGGCCCCTAAACCTCCAGGTCCTGTGAGTCAGCAGTGTAGTTTATTTAGTTGTGTTTAGTGTTTTTCTGCAGGAACATGTAGAATTATCATTCTAAAAAATTTGTGTGAAACCTTTAAATCTGCTGATCAATGATCAATAATATAATTGATTTATAAAATTTAAATATAGAAACAGATCAAATAGAAACTAAATGAATGTGAAACTGAAGTTCGTTCAACATTGACAAGACAGACAGATGTTCAATAAAAATGTATTATATATAATATGATGATTATTATATTTTATAATTATTATTGTTAATAATAATGTAATTCTCTGACATTGAACAGATTTGATCAATAGTTTTTATTCTAAGTAGAAGTAGATTTAATGTTTTAATCTCAGACTGTGATGATGATGATGATGATGATGATGATGATTGACAGTTTGACAGCTGAGGTTTTCAGAATAAGAATAAGAGCAGACATGGTCAAAGATCATCATCATCAGGTTTAAGTGAAAAGTTACAAACACCATGACTTCAGGAGACCTCAGATCCCATGATGCACTGCTGCCACCTGCTGGCTGTTACCGTGAGTCAAACAATCTGCAGCAGGTCTGCAGGAAGCTATGAAAACATGAATACATGAAAGCATGAAAGTGACACTGTTGACATGGCAACCTTTCATTCTGTTCATGATTCTTTTCATAAACACTTAATACGTCACAATGAACAATGACGTGATCAGAAAATAAACAAACACAACTTTAACCTTTAACACAGAACATACCAACTGTGAGTGTGTGTGTGTTTTCTGACTGAAGGTGAAGCTCTGCTCCACTGAGCACGCACGCACAAACACACACGCGCGCGAACGCGCAAACTGGTCTGAAGCTTGCAGACGCTGATGATAAAAACCTCGTGACCTCTCGGTGACCTCTGACCGGGAGAAAAGCCGGCTCTGTGATTGGCTGAGCAGACTGACCTCGGACAGGTGAAGATGGCAGCTCGTGTGGCCGCGGTGCTGCTGCTGCTCGGACTCGTCGGTTCTGGACTCTCCTCCTCCGGGTCCGGTCCGAACTCAGAGCGCGGTAGGATGGAGCTGCGGCGCGTGCAGAGCCTCGCCTCTCAGCCCAGGTACGGAGAGTGCTGGGCGCGAGCTCTGGAGCACCTGGACACGCGCTGCAAAGACATGACGTCAGAGAGCCAAAGCCGGATAGCGCTGAGGTTCACCCACTGTCACCTGAGCAGGTGAGACACAGTCATACAGCTCAGGTGTGAACAGAGCAGGTAACAGCAGAGGTGTCATCACAATTTACCTGTGTGAGATTAGGTAAGTTGTCCCGGATCATACTATTACTGTAATGTGTGTGTGTGTGTGTTGGAAGGAAGAGCCATGTGTGGCTACTTCAGGTTACACATAACACGTCACAGCGCCACCTGTAGGGAATTCCAGTACTACATGAGAGAAACGGTTTCTGCTCTCTCTCAGATTGAGGTTCTTCTCAGGACCTGATGGGGCCAGGTCTACCTATCTGTTCAGGTGTTGGTGGTGCTGACCCTGCAGGTCTTGATTGTCCCTCTGTTGCTGCTGGTCTTTCTCCATTAGTTGCAGTGAGCCAGTCTCTCTCCAGGTTTCCTCTGTGCATAGTCTCTGAGATTGTCCTGAGTGCTGACAGTCTGAACATCTGTTTGTCCACTGGACTGAGGAAAGTCTGGACTCACTCTAGAGACCATCAGAGACTCCATGTCTACAAAAATCTGTGGAGCTGTAATGATGTTCTTACCTCCTGTAACAATGGGCCTCATTCACCAATATCTTCTTAGGTATTTTCTTAAATTCTTTCTTAAATTGTTCTTAAGAAAGTTCCTAAGAAAACTCTACATCAGATCCATGAACCAGAATTGTGCACACCTGTGTTCTTAGATTGATGAATGCCAATCTCCTCATAAAATGAAATCGTGTGCCAGTTGGCCCAAAATAGCATAGGTAAACGCCCTTAAAAGGGCATGAGACTGAAGGGTCATGTGCAGACACAGACAGAAGTCACTAAGAGATACCGTAAGGGAAAGTTGAGAAAATGCCAAAACGAAAATCTAAAGACGGAGCACCAGAATCAAAACGCAAAAGGAACTTTAGTAGTTCTGAAGTGGAGGTACTGCTGCAGGAAGTGACGAGTGGTTTAGTGTTAATGTAGCCTTCATTTATTTAAAAGACCATAATGCTTTGTAAAATAAAAGTTATTAAAAAAATTATTATACATGACAAACATATTATTGTAATTGAAATAATATTATATAACTGTAGAACAGAAGAAAACACAATAACCAATTATTTTGCTCAAATATGTCAGAGCTCAAATGTGCGTAAGAGTACTCTTGAGTGTGCGTAGATTCAGTTCTTACCTAAGAACAAATCCCAAATAAGAAAACATTGGTGAATGTCAGAGTCTTTGTAAAAAAGTGCGTAAGTGGGTTTTAAAAACAAAATTTCTTCTTAAGAATGGTTGGTGAATGAGGCTCAATGTTCTTACCTCCTGTAAAACCTAACAGAGTGGCTGTCCAATCAGAGAAGAGAGGAGACCCATTAACCCTTTAACCACGTTCTCTCAGGGATTGGATGAGAGATCAGCAGCTGTCTTGGATTGTGTGCTTGTGTGTTTGTTGTACAGTCTGGTTTGTTGTTCCTGGTCAGAACAGGATGTCTGGCTCCTTCTTTACTCTTCACATTCTCATCTGTGTCTCATGAAATTTTTGGAGGAAGACCAGTTCTTTTCTTATAGACTTTGGATCTTGGCTCAGGTTAACTCTGACCAGTCTCAGTTCCACCTCTGAACAGGTAGCTGTAGGACTGTAGAGCTAACAGCTAACTCCAACAGCCTGGTTCTGTTTAATCCATCTGCACTGTGCATTTCCTCCACAGCTGTATACGATCATCAGCAGCTGTTTTTAAACCTGAGCAGATCTTTGTTCAGTCTGTCAATGACCTTCAGGCGTGTGTGTGCTCCAACTACCTGAGCTGTGTAACAGGCTTTAAACATCAAAATATTTAAACACTGAAGCTCTTTGTTGTTCACTGACAGATGGTTTCTCCTATAAACTTCTCTGTTTCAGTTCAGTAACTGTTCAAATGATTCAGGAGTCAGAGATCAGAGAAAAGTCCAGACACTGAATCCACATCAGTGAATCAGATCTAGTATTCAGTTGGTGGCAGTCTGCAGCTTCACCACTAGATGTCACTGAATCCTCCACACTGGTCCTTTTTTAATGATTTAGTTTTATACATAAAAAATAAACTGTGACCTGTTTGACTTTGTGTGATACCAACTCTCCTGTCAGCTTCAACCTGGAATTTGTGGTCTCTCTCTGTCTGTCAGCTCAGGCAGGGATTTCCCATCATGCCCTGAGGGTTCAGAGGTCAGCAGGTGTACAGGTGGGATGGACGTTGTGGCCTTTAACACCTACACAGAGTTCTTCACCCACACTCACTCCATCTGTCACTTCCTGCAATCTGAAGTCTGGCAGAGCCGAGCTGAAAACGCCATGTACAGGTAAACTGAATACAGTTAACAGTTAGCTGAACACAGGTTAACTGAACATAGGTAACAGTGTGTGTGTGTGTGTGTGTGTGTGTGTGTGTGTGTGTGTGTGTCAGGTTAACAGAGAGTTCAGCAGGTGTAGCTGAGCAGCTTCAGTCCACCAGGCAGATTACTGAGGACCTTATTGAGGCCCAGAGTGCTGCTTTACAGGCACAGCAGGAGATCCTACACAACGGAGAGGAGCTGAGAGTCACCCTGAAAGACTCTACACAGGGTAAGAACACAAATACAGAGCCTGGGAGACAGTATGCAGGGTAAAGAAAGAACCCACAGCCTAACAGACTGTCTCCACCTGTCTGTCACTCTCTGTCTCTCACCTGTCTGTCTCTTAGACCTGTCTTTTTCACCTGTCTCTGACCTGTCTGTCTCTCTCTCTGGCTCTAACCTGTCTGCCTCTCACCTGTCTGTTTCACTTGTCTGTCTCTCAGGTCTGAGGGCGGTCTTCTCGGAGCTCAGCAGTGTGTCCAGGGAGCAGCAGGTAGCGCTGTCTGAGCTCTTTAACAGAGTTTCCTTCTTGCAGAGCTTTCTGCTGATGGAGGCTCACAGTCTGAGCTCCTGCTGCTACAACGCTGCCGCTCTCTGCACCTCCTTCCTCCTCACCTCCACCCAGCGCTCCTCCAGAGCCAGGTAACTCCTCCCCCTCCACCCTCTGCCAGCTCCCGACTGAAGACAGCTGTCAATCACAGTTTCTCAATTAGCCTCATTAATTAACTATAGAAGAATCTTTCTGTGTGTGTGTGTGTGTGTGTGTGTGTGTGTGTGTGTGTGTGTGTGTGTGTGTGTGTGTGTGTGCGTGCGTGCGTGCGTGCGTGCGTGCGTGCGTGCGTGCGTGCGTGCGTGCGTGCGTGCGTGCGTGCGTGCGTGTGTGTAGGTTGGTGTTGTTGGGGTTGGTGTGTTTAAATTTCTACCTGGAGAGGAAGATCTACCAGTTTGTGATGAACTGTGATCATCCTGAACACAGACACATGGTCAGTATGGTCATCTGGCTCAGGTCACACCTGACGCCACATTGTAACACTTGACTTAGAGACGTGTGTGTTCAGGTGTGGTTGTTGACCATGTGTGTGTCCTCGGTCACCAGGAGTTGATCAGTGTGTATGTAAGTGTGCTGCGGCGGCTCATGGTGTGTGTAGGAGTGTGTGTCCTGCTGTGTGTGTGTGTTCAGTACAAAGACCCGGTCCAGCAGAGTCTGCAGGTGTTGCAGCAGCTCAGAGAGACGCAGCGCGGTTTGCAGGAGGTGCTGCAGCACGCAGGTGAGTCCAGTCTGCAGGAGGAAGCTCAGGGAACCTGCTGAAAGCTAAACATGGTGGAGGTTAGAGGAGCTGCCGCTCTGAGGCTGCTGATTGGTCTGTCTGTCTGTCTGTCTGCAGACAGTTTAGGGCAGAGACAGAAGAAGAAGACGGAGGAGGATCAGGTTCAGGTTAGACCTGCAGAGAACAGTTCTGATCCACGTCACAGAGGTGAAGAGACGACATCATCCTCAGCCTCCGTCTTCCAGAGGAGAACAGAGAGGAGAAGAAGAGAGGAGGCGCTGAGGAGGAGACACAAGGAAGAAAGAGAAGAGGAGGAAGAGGAGTGCTGCTCAGACCTGTCTCACCTCTCACACACTGGTCAGTACCTGTCTCATTCTCAGCAATCAGCTGTAGTTAGTAATGTGTTACTGTGGTTCTGGCCTCTCCCTGAGCCTGGGGCCAAATGGTCTGTCCCAGACTGAAGGACTGAGGAGACTCAACAGGTTGAGTCTGGACTGAGGCTGTCACTGTCCTCCATGGTTATTGATTAGTTTAGGGATAAATAAGTAGGTCTAGCTGATTTTAAGAGCGCCCTCTGCTGGCCCACAAGGTGAACTACATCAGACCCTCTGAGGTGTCAGATCACTTCCTGAACCTGTCAACCTTCAGTGACCTCATGAAGAAGAAACAGCTGCAGTGTCCACTTACTTTTGGCCGTGTGGTTTATCACTGTGTGTTTGTGTTGCAGGTGCTGACAGTATCCTGCTGCCGTACACTACCCACAATGCCTCAGTGAGTCCAGTCAGGCGTCCTCGTCACTCCTTCTCCTCCCCTCTGGTCCACAGCATCCTGGTGGAGGACAGACAGGTAGATCAGATCTGATTATTGATGACGGATTATCTGAGGTTTAGAGACAGTTCAGACTTTGAATACAACTATTGATTAACACTGATCAGTCACCTCTCAATTAGTTCGTTAGTTACTTAGTCAGTGTGTTAGTTAGTTAAAGGTTCAGTTAAATCTTCCACAATCTGAACATGTGAACGTGTATGCACATGTCATTGAACAGCTGGACACCAGATGTGTCCTACTACATCACATAGTTGTGATGTCATAGCTCCTGCAGGTGCATCCCTCCTCAGCAAATGAAGGTGAAACAAACTGAAGTCAGCAATAAGACAAGGCCAGGTGAGACCTCCCCTGACAGTCAGAGGTCAGCTCACACAGGTCTGAACTGAAGGTTCACCAGGTGTCTGACGGTCTCATTTGTCTGTGAGGAAGATAAAAGTAGAACAGATGTACCTGGTGGATTCTGGTCACCTGCTCAGTTGTTCACAGGAAGTGATGAATTTTCCTGAAACATGGAAACATGTTTGTGTCACAAACCAGGACAGATTTTTACCTGTATGACCTCTGACCCTCTGCTCTTTTCTCCTGAATGTTTATTCATCTTCACCGTCCTCTTCCTCCTGGTGTTCAGCGTCGTTACAGCCTGAGGAGCAGGAAGTCAGAGACTCACTGACTGTCACAATTACAATGTCCTGGAGTGTCACTCAGTGTTTTAAACAGTTTGATATCAATAAAGCAGAATTTTAAACAGACTAATGTGTTTATGACATGAGACACAAATCAAACACACCCCCAGCTACTCAACTGACACTTAAACTCCACCCCTCTGTGGAGGGTGGAGATCTCTGCTCCCTCATGAGGCTGGAAAACAAACACATCACCAAACATCACCTAAAGAGAAACGTCATCATATCTTCATATGAAAGAATAAAACATTTTACACTGTTCCTATTTAAAACAGAAATATTAAATTAATGGAAAAGGTTAAGTAAATGTTTTTTTGTTTTTTTTTATCATGATTTTATGAGGAAACTTTTTGTGAGTTTGCTGATATTTCGCTCAAACGTCGTTTACAGTGTACTTAATTTCTCATTATATGATGTTAAAATGTTTGATTTGACACTGAAATCTTTCATATGGGAAATTTGTCAGTGAACTTAATGCAAAAAGTGACAGTTACTTGCCAGAAATGTCGGCCATCTTGGAAATGTCAGCCATCTTGAATTTTCAAGTGGCTCACGTAAACAGAACACCTAAGAAGGATTTGTGCCAGGTTGAGTACATTTGAAGGATTTCACTGAACCATGCAGTTATCAGCTGATGTCAGGAGATGCCTCAGAGTGAAACCGATCTGAGCAGGCAGTGGAGCCCCCTGCTGGATTAACACTGAACTTTAATTTCTGCTGCTCTTCAGTCAGTGTCAGAATAAATGAAAATAAAAAGTCTCAGATGAAGCAGAGTCTGTGCAACTTGGTGTCTGTATCTGATGGAAAAGAGGAAGAATAAAAACCCTGCTGGAATCTTTCTCCAGTTTTCCTTTTGCTTCAAGTTTCAGCCTCAAAAAACAAAAAACAGAAGAAGAGAAAATGAGAAACAGACCACGGAGAGAGAGAGGGAGGAGGAGGGGAGCTGGTCTGGGATCAGATGTCTGGACTCAGGAGGAGGAGGAGGAGGAGGAGGAGGAGTTGTGGTGTCGGTCTGCAGCTCAGATCAGATTTTCACACAAAAGCCTGAAGCTGCTGAGAGAGAGACGACCGACCGACCGACCGACCGACTGACTGACTGGCTGTCTGACTGTTTGTCTGTCTGACCATCTGTCTGTCTGACTGTTTTTCTGTGTGTTTTGACAAACTAAGCTGGCGTGAAGAGGATACTCTGCAGGAGAAGAAATCATGAAAAGTATGAAGTTGAAGGAAAAATGAAGGCAGTGTTGCAGGAGCAGCTGAGTCTGCACATTCTGGACTGAAGTGGTTCAGGAGTCCACAGAGAGGAAGAGTCCGCTTTAATGAGAGGGGATCAGATCCGGATCAGGTTTCATCTGGGAACAGTTATTTTTCAGTTTTCTCTGCGTCCTCGCTGCCACTGATCTGATCTGAGAGCAGTCCGAGCAACAGGAAACCTGAACCAGCTGAGCCGCAGAACAGATCTGGATCAGATCTGGAGGTGGTTTTTATTGTTGAATCGCATTAAGGGGATTCTTCAGACCATCTCTGTGGAGTCTCTGAGGTCAGCGAAATCCAGAGAGACGTGGAGACAGAGATGGAGAGGAGATTAGTGGAGTTTGGTTTTCTCAGAGAGTGAGAGAAGAAAGAGAGGGGAGAATGGGAGAGAGAGGGGGAGGATGAAGGAGGGGGGAGAGTCCACATGAAACCACCAGAGACGTGTTTCTAATGAAGAGTAGACTGTGGCCCACGATCTGCTCCTGGACCGGATCTGTGTGTGGTGATGGTCTCTCTGTCTGAACAAACAGGAAGTGACTGGTTCAAACTTTATTTCAGGCAGAGTCCTTCAGATTAAGAGTCTTGTTTTTCAGTCTGGGTGGATATGAACTGAAACAGTAAGTCAAACCTCAGGACCGACCTCACATCTGTGTACAGGTGTAGTTGTCGGCATGCAGCTGAACCGACCTCGCAGTGCCCTGCTCGGGTTCAGCCTCCCACCTCCTCCCCCCCCTCCTCCCCCTGCCTCGTTCTCCAGTCAGTTCAGCACCATGAGGTTCTCCTACCACCTGAGCTCCACACCACCAGCACACAACAGCAGCTCCACCTGCAGGACAGGTGAGTCACCAGTGAAACCCCTGTGTGTGTGTGTGTGTGTGTGTGTGTGTGTGTGTGTGTGTGTGTGTGTGTGTGTGTGTGTGTGTGTGTGTGTGTGTGTGTGTGTGTGTGTGTGTGTGTGTGACGGACGGACGGACGGACAAGGAGAGAGACTGAAATCACACAATATGTTTGTGTGATTTCAGTCTCTCTCCTTGTCCGTCTCATCTTGTGTTTTTGATGTGTCTTCACTCAAGAACAGAGACGTGTGCGGGTATATGATGTAGGAAAAACAGTTTGGTTTGTTTATGACACATTTCTGTTGTTTCTCATGTTAAAGATTCATAAAACTCGAAATGTCTGAAAACAGTGAAAAGTGAATTTCCTCAAGCACAACAACTTCAAATGTCTCATTTGGTCTAAAAACCAAAGAGACTCAGGAAACTCTACAATTAATAGAACCACAGTCTGGTTCTGATTCAGGTTCAACTTCTGGTTCAGGTCTTTGGGCCTTTGGAGGCTTTAATGTGTGAGAGTGAAAGTCAGAGACACAGTTCATTACATTAGACTCAATCTAATTATACCTAAAGCTCGCTCGCTCGCTCTCGCTCTCTCGCTCTCGCTCTCTCTCTCTCTCTCTCTCGCTCTCTCTGGTGAAGCTGAGGTCAGACAGGTCACATGATGTTTCCATCTTTAGCATCAATGGGTGAGAAAAAACTGTGTTAGTCAGTCATGTGATGCTGTTTTCAGAATAATCCAATGATATGAAAAGAATTGAATGATTTGAATGAATTAATGAATTTATGCAGAATCATAACTTCCTGTTTTTAAAGTGAGTGGCAGCAGGTCTAGTTTCTACCAGTAGTGTCTGATCCTGAGCACATCAGTTTTCTCTGTGTCTCTGTGCTTCAACATTTATTAAAATAGTTTTCACTGTATTTGGTTCATTCCTGTGTGAATACAGACACTTCCTGTGTGAGGAGCTAAGTGTATTAGTGTCATGTATATGTGGGTCCTTCACCCGCAGGTGAACTGAGACTGGTTCAGGTCCAAGTTCAGGTTGATACTGCAGCCTGATGACAGAAAATCAGTCAGTCAGTTGCTCACTCACTTGTTCATTTCTCGCTCGCTCACTCACTCACTCGCTCACTCATTCATTTATTTACTCGCTCGCTCACTTGCGCACTCACTTGTTAATTTCTTGCTCGTTCATCTTTAATTTACTTACTCGTTCATTTACTCGCTCGCTCGTTCATTTACTCGCTCGCTCACTCTTCTCAGATTAATCACTTTAAAAGAAGAACATTGTTTCTCTGTTTGATCATGTGACTCTCTTCATATGACCAATCCTTGTGTCTGTGTGTGTGTGTGTGTGTGTGTGTGTGTGTGTGTGTGTGTGTGTGTGTGTGTGTGTTTGTGTATGTTTATGAGGACCAGTTAGAGACCTTACAGAGTGAGGACATGTTGCCTGGTCCTCACACCTCCAAAGAGATGTTTGATTCAGATTTTAGGTAAAGGGTTTGGGGTTTAGTTGCCAGGTGACCAAACGAAACTTTACCATGATTAAAATCACAGATATCTGTGGTCTGAGAGAGAGAGAGAGAGAGAGAGAGAGAGCTCAGGTAATGTGTTCACAGCTGGGAGCAGGGGGACACACAGCTAGCCTGCTCAGTAAAAAAAGCTCAAAAACACACCAACCCCCACCTCGCCTTTGTAAAAGGAAGACCAGACTGGTGGATAGTGGTTTTGTGTAGTTTTCTAACTGAGCTCTGCAAACATCCACAGTCACTTTATACAGAGGCTCTGGACCAGGGACTCTGGGACCCTCCAGGACCCTGGGCCTGTATTCATTCGCCTGTTGAGTAAAGCTTTTTAATTAACATGTTATATCTCATTTGTTTGAAGGTCCATACTTTCTGCTTCTGCTGTGTTTTATTTGAAGAAAATATATTTGTGGTTTTAAGAACCAAAAACCATCTCAATGTAGTTTTACATCTCCTCTCTCGGGCTTCTCTATGGAGCTGTAGTAACAACAGGTCGGTGAGCCAATCAGAAGAGAGGTCTGAGCCTTGGAGTGAGCGCTTGGTGTTGTGCTGTTAATAAAGTTAAAACAACAAAGAAAGATTGGATGGTGGATCCAGGTGGGTGTGGCTTGGGGTGTGGCTGAGGGCAGTGACTGCTTTGTTGTGACATCACAAAGTTACAGAAGTTTGTTTTAAGGCTCAGTTTCTCAATACAGGCTGTGTGCATTTCTCTGTGCACTGAGCTCTTTGATAGTTTCACAGTATTAATACAGAACTTAGACCTGCTTTATAATCAAAAAAGAGATGGACATCTACCTTTATACTATGTGAATCAACACAAGTGTACAAACTACAGACTGTAACTATAGTATCGTCAGATGACAGTTGGTCACTGTGGATTGATACACTGCTTTTGGAGAAAGTAAAGACCTGGTCCCTGACTCTGGGTCTGGATAAGCTGAATGTGGAGCATAGCCATTAATAATGTTATTGGTTAGAGCTGGATGAGGATACAGCAGCTGTTATTAAACAGCATCAAGTGTCAGGTCAGATATTGACCACAAACACACACACCATGTGTGTGAAAGATATCACACATGAAAACGAAAATTATATTGTACATGTGAGATATGAAACATGTTCACAAACATGTTTGGTGAATTCACCTGGAGGTCAGTGAAATGTCCTGCAGCAGCCTCACTGTGGACGGTTCAAAAGTTATGACCCCCACAACCTCCAACCACCGCCATCCCCCAATCACCCCACCCCCGTCCTCCCAGCATGCCGTGCAGCAGGACATGTAGAGACTGATATGAGCAGATATGAATGAGGAGCTGAAGGTTAAAAATAGATGACAGATTCAGCTGCTGAACACGAAAGATAAACCAGTGTGTGTGTGTGTGTGTGTGTGTGTGTGTGAGCTGCAGACACCTCCCCCTGACACACTGACAGCACCAGTGCTGATTCTACTACATTCTCTACTGTTCCTCTTGTATTTTTCTGCTACATGTAAAATCAAACTGACCAGGATGTTTCAGTTCACATGATTAGTTCCACATATAAAAGTGTAACAGGTGTTATCACGTGGAAATACAATGTCAGATGTTCCACTTCACATATGAATCAGGTCTAAGGTTTTGAACTCATGTTGTCTTTTGCCACAGTGACATGAAAACGTCAAGTGATGGTGTCAGTTGATCTAATGTGTGAAGATGAAAACGTGGTCTTTAGCAGGCTGCATATAACTAATAACTAACAACTACATAGGTGGAAATATGATGAGGCAGCAGCTAGCAGCCGTGAGACGTTATTAAAGACACTTGTGGACGGAGGGATGACTCTTCCCTTGCTTTGAAAAGCAAACAAACACAATACACAGATGACTGCCTTCTTCTTATATATTTTTTTGTTGTTTTTTTTTTTTTTTTGACCGGAGAGGAGGATGTGACCTCTGCTGGACGTAGATCTGATGTCAATCTGATCTCAATGTAGAGCCACATATTAAAACCAGGTGTAAATTGAGTCTGATGTCGTCAGTTACAATTTCCATCGATGCTACTGTGCAGTGCTGTTCCTACTGTTTGCAGTGTTTCAAGTTTCGTGCTTCTGTTTCAACATTTTACTCGTTTCTACTGTTTCGACTGAAACCAGGAATATCCTGTGTTTTGAAACTGGATGGACCTCACATGTCTGCAGGTGACCCAAAGCCCAAACCTCAAAAAAACAAAATAGAACTAGTGATAAACAACTCTGTCAGGCGCTGCATAGAACTGTTAACATCCTCTCCCCCAGTTTTAGACCAGACCAACAGCTGAACTCTCTACAGACACATCAAGGCCGCACACACACACACACACACACATACACACACACACACACACACACTTACTCACTCTCCATTCATAGATGTCCTGGGGGAATGGACGAACAAGCTTTTCTCTCTTTAGGTCACTGGGTCGCTCACTGTTGCTGTGGGGGAGGGGAGTTGTGTGTGTTTGTGTATGTGTGTGTGTGTGTGTGTTTGTGTGAGGTCAGAGGTCAACCTGTAGTTTTATCTCCTCCCCTGCCAGATGATGACAGGCTGTGTTTGTTTTTCAGACTCATGAGGGAGGGGTGATTTTTTTTCTCCACAGAGAGGTGAAAGTCAAAGTTCAAAGTTTTCTGTTCCTCTGAACATGGTTTCATCCTGCAAACGGGTGGTGATGAAGGTGGTGATGAAGGTGGTGATGGCTAACATTAGTTACCAAGAGCTTCATCTATCATTGTGTTTACAATACAAGAAGTTATAATACATCCTCTGAGCAGCTACGTCTTCAGGACAGATTGGAGGCTACAGTGAGTCTGTGGCTGAGGCTAGCTGGTTAGCATGCTAACTTCAGTAGCAGAAACAGCGTTAACATCAGTGTAGTAAAGGACTGAAGTTTGATGCTGGACTCAACGTTTCTTCTAGACTGGTGAGTAAACAGCTGCTAATGCTAACATTAGCTATGTAGCAACAGCAAAAACTTACATAAAGCTCCTAAGTATCTCTCAGTTCAAAAACCTGGGGGTGTGTTTGTTTTGGTGATCTAGTTTGTGACCTTTTTCCTGGGGTATGTTTGTTTTATGTAACACTGACTGATATTGGTTTGTTTGATTCAAGCTTAGACATTGAAGACCTGGGGGTGTGTTTGTTTTGATCACCCTGTCTGTCTCTGTGCTCCACAGAGTCAGCAGCTCAATACAAGGGGTATGTTTGTTTTTTTTCATCTTGTAGTGACCCAGCTGTGGGGTGGAGTTACACCAACTTGGTGGAAGATATTTTTAGGTCCAGTGGGATGTCAGTAAAAGAGGGGTGCTTGTTTTTCTCCTTTGTTCAGCCTTTTTGGGTGATGAAACTCCCCTCAGGAGGGTTCACATTACCTCACCCACCACGCCGATGTCATAGACCAGATCACAAGGAGCTGCAAGGATCAACTATTTGGTCTAAACTGTGTGTGAATTAGAACAAACTGACCA